CTAGCAGTTCGAAAACATGCAAATGTGAATAGATCAATAGGTACCGCTTCTGTGGGAAGGTAATAATAATAATMATCATCATCATCATCATCATCATCATCTTTATTTATACCCCACCACCATCTCCCCAAAGGGGACTCGGGGCGGCTAACATGAGGCCAAGCCCAAAGGTACAAGACAGCAAAATAAAATACAAAATGCAGACAACAAAAATACATAAAAAATACATAAATAAAATACACATAGAAGCAAAATAAAATAAATAAAGCAAATTGATATAATCTAAAATCAAATGTAACGGACTAGGCAAAATGATAAAACCCTGAATGAGGTAGGAATAGAAAAATAATAATGGAATTGAGAGGAGCCCAAAAAGGATGAACTGTAGGTTTAGGCTTTTAGTTTGGGACGGGGGAAACGCTCCATTCAGTCATGCTGGCCACATGAGCTTGGAGGTGTCTATGGACAACGCCAGCTCTTTGTCTTAGAAATGGAGATGAGCACCACCCCTCAGAGTCAGACACGACTAGACTTAATGTCAGGAGAAAACTTTATCTTTACTTTAGAAGGGGCCTTAATGGTTAGTGGCCATGGTGCCCAGCATATTTGTAACTAAAGGTAACTTTTCCTAGTTTGTTGTTTAAGATGCTCATCTCTTTATAGTTAGAAGCAACCAAAACAGAGGAGCATAATTCATGGTTGCAAGAGTGAAAGAGTCATTATGAATCCTACTTAGCCTTCAGGTGACATAACCTCTAGTAGTGTGGCAATGAAATGATCGCTACCTAAACAATTCTCTGGAGGCTCCTTCACGGCCATGCTCCAGATGTTCGAGGAGGATGTGGCTTTCTGAACACCCCCACAAGCCTTCAGCATTTGTATACAAGATCCTCCACCCAGCCTCAAGATGAAGAGAGCAGAAACTGAGGCAGCAGGAATCCCAGGAGATTGTGGACCACTGCACATCTTCTCACCCTAGGTAAGCTTTTAATCTACATTGTATGCCGGAAAGGTTTATGTATGATCCCAGAAAACGTTGGGCAACGTGAATGCTGAAAGGCAGGTGGAGCAAGACTTTGGCATAGGTAAGAGGAAAGTTTCGTCTTCATTATATGTTTGCAAATTGCTGCTACTCTTGTAATTCATCACACTACTGGGATACAGATTGCTGCTCAGGTATGAAATCTCCCTTCACAGGTGTAAAGAAACATTTTAGTTTAGATTAAAATAGTTCCTGTGCACTTGCCCTTCCAATAGAATTCATAATGATGGGTCTACAGACCAATGCTGGTCTATGAGCCAGTGGATGCCAGTTTGTACCAAGTTTTCAAGAAATTGTGAAAATATATTAATATAGGGGCCATGGTGGCACAATGGGTTAAACCGCTGAGCTGCTGAACTTGCTGACCAGAAGGTCAGCGGTTTGAATCTGTGGGATGTGGTGAGCTCCCACTGTTAGCCCCAGCTTCTGTCAACCTAGCAGTTCAAAAACATGCAAGTGTGAGTAGATTAATAGTTACTGACTCGGCAGGAAGGTAACGGCTCTCCATGGAGTCATGTTGGCCACATTACTTTGGCGGTGTCTACGGACAATGCCGGTTCTTTGGCTTAGAAGTGGAGATGAGCACCAACCTCCAGAGTCGGACACAACTAGACTTAATGTCAAGGGAAAACCTTTACCTTATGATATTAATATATCACAAATATGGTACCAATCCTTGGTACCTTGGGGAGATTGCCAATCCACTGCTTGAGAGGCATTGTTTTAGACGACAATATTCATCACCCCCAACCAGCATAAATTCCAGACTAGCCCAAAATATAAAAGGAGCCTGAAACCCAGGACCTGCCCTTTCAGAAAGTCTTTGAGAGAAACAATCATTAGGAAGATGAAGAACAAACAATATTCTATATTGTTTGAAGGATAAAGAATCAGAAATAATATATGACTTGTTGTGAGATCTCACCATAGTCATTAAGCATGCAGATAAAAGAGGAGTATTGACTCTGAAAATAAATGAAATGGATAAGATAATGAGGTATTTATACAGCAAATTACTGAGACATAATGCAGAATAACCTGTTCCTTAGTTCCCATAATCTTATTTCAGGAGTACTGTGGGTTCATTATAACTTTACTATTCATGGAGAATGCAACACACTGAGGCCCCTTTTCTGCTTTGAACTGGATTATCTGGCAGTTTAGATTTAATCCCCATCTACACTGCCATATAAAATCCAGATTATCTGCCTTTAACTGGATTATATGGCAGTGAAGACTCATATAATCCAGTTCAAAGCAGATAATATGGATTACCTGCTTCGATAATCTGGATTACATGACAATGTAGATCCATCCTTAAAAACGTATATCCCAGTGTATCCCCTTATCTTTAGTTCCATCAGTAGTATCTGGTAGATCCATGTCTATACTTTGTGAGGCCCCAATGTGTCAGTACCTCATCAAAATGCAACAGATGCTATCAGATGGTATGTTAATGTATGTAGAATGCATCCGCTGTATGTATGATGAAATCCAGCACCACCCACAAAGTATTGTGTCACAATGCTGGAAGAAAAAGAAAGTCATACACCCATTTTCCAGCTGCTTTGTGTGTTTCTGTGGTGTAGCGGTTTGAGTGAATCCATAAGACCAGGATTTGAATCACTGCTCACCAGGGACACCCTTTGAGTGATCATGGTCAAGTCATATTCTCTTAGCCTCAAGCCCCTTCTACACTGCCTTATAAGATCTATATTATCTGCTTGGAGATGGATTATATGACAGTGTAGTGTCATATAATCCCATTCAAAGCAGAAAATGTGGATTATCTGCTTCGATAATCCAGATTTTATGAGTGTAGAAGGAGCCTACGATTAACTTTAAAGGAACTATCCAAAGTTTGAAACCTGCTTTGACATATAGGCTCATCACCTGAGATTATTGAATCTAGTTTAGTACAAAATTCATTAAATTTTGTACTAAACCTGGAGTGGATTTATTACCTCATCAATTGCCACTGACTTTATAGATTTCTTACCTCGAAATCTAAGTGGGGAAAAAACATTAAAAAATTTGAGGGAGAAAACTGAGATTATATCGACAATTCAAGTTGGTTTTTTGTGTGGTTATTTACAATTCTGTGACTGGTACAAAGGAGTTTCAAAACAGCTACAACATTAATTTCCTCTCCACAAATCTATGAGGAGCAGGATGCATTGCTGAAAGTTGTACAGTATTGTCCTGTATTGGCACCAACAGGAGCAGGGCCATTGAAATCAAAGGGGTTTGCATAACTGGTGAATAACAAGTCCCAGAACCAACTTTTCCAGCCCATCCGAATCCACATACTCATCTCAGTTGTTAGGCTACGGAAGGGTGTGTTGATGTTTTGAACTGTGTTTGTGTTGTGCCACCCAGAGATGATGCATTTTAATCAGGCCCAGTCATAGCTGCCTTATCTGAGGTCCTCCTCCTCGCTTCTCACACCTTGTGCAAGACCTTGTGCCCATCCGTTTGGGCCATCTTACCTCCTTAGTCTCTGCATCCTTTCACCTGAGATTTCACCCTATATGCCTAGGCTCCCTGATTGAAAGAAAAAGGGTATTTGTCTGGATCTGCACTACCCTATATCCCAGGACCTGATACCAGATTATCTGTTTATCCCAGATTATCTAGCAGTGCAGAGTCATATAATCCAGTCGAAAGCAGATCATCTGGAAACGGATCCTGGGATATAGGGCAATGTAGAAGGGACCTTTGAGGTTACCATGGACTTCCTCAAGCTGTCCCAGTCTGGGAAATGTAGACTGCCACTCCCAGAATCCAATAGATGAAAACAATCTGCAACCTAAGTAGAATTTCTTCAGCAGCTAAAATAAAAAGAGCATATTGTGTAGAGCAATGTTTCACAAACGATGTTCCTCCAGTTGTTTTGGACTTCAGCTCCCAGAAATCTGTGCCATTTTAGCAGTTGTTAGGAATTGTGGTAGCTGATATCCAAAAAGACCTAGAGGAGCACTGTTTGAGAAATCCTGGTCTAGAGATCAAGGGAGGCAATGGTGCCCCTCTATTCTGCTTTGGTCCTTCATAGAATCATTGAGTTGAAAGAGACCTCATGGGCCATCCAGTCCAACCCCCTGCCAAGAAGCAGGAAAATCACATTCAAAGCCCCCCAGACAGATGGCCATCCAGCCTTTGTTTAAAAACCTCCAAAGAAGGAGCCTCCACCACATTCCAGGGCAGGGAGTTCCACTGCTGAACAGCTCTCACAGTTAAGAAATTCTCCCTAATGTTCAGGTGGAATCTCCTTTCATGTAGTTTGAAGCTATTGTTCCGCTTCCTAGTCTCCAAAGCAGCAGAAAACAAGCTTGCTCCCTCTTTCCCATGACTTCCCCTCACATATTTATACATGGCCCTTATCATGTCTCCTCTCAGCCTTCTTTTCTGCAGGTTAAACATGCCCAGCTCTTCAAGTTGCTCCACATAGGGCTTGTTCTCCAGACCCTTGATCACCCTTGATCCTCTGGACGCATTCCAGCTTGTCAACATCTCCCTTCAATTGCAGTGCCCAGAATTGGATACAGTGTGATTCCAGGTGTGGTCTGACCAAGGCAGAATAGAGGGGTAGCATGACTTTCCTGGGTCTAGACAGTAGCCTCCTATTGGTGCAGGCCAAAATCCCATTGGCTTTTTTTTTTTTTGCCATCGCATTACATTGTTGACTCATGTTGGCTCCACAAGGACTCTCAAGATCTTTTCCTCACATACTGCTGTTGAGCCTTCCAACTCTATGATTCTATTTTTCTCCCATGTTGGGGGTATGGTAAATCCATTCCTGGTTTCAGTATGTCTCTCGTAGAGATAGGTTTAACTCCAGAAGCAATGTTAATGGTTGAGTCCTAATTTTATTACATATCATCCTTTGTTTCCTTTTCATCATAATATTTGATTTTGATTATATCTTCTCTTGTCTGATATTTCTTGCCTGTACAGTAAAGTGAACTCCAACGGATAGAAATGGCTTTCGACATCAACAAGATATTACTGATGATCACACAGTTCGTTGCGAGTCTCTTTGACAGGAAATATTCCTCGTGGCCTTCCCTATTGTTTAGAGTCATGATATGGTAAGTGTCTATATAGGAAGATATACAAAGTGGAACGGTTTGGTGATTTTGGACTCAATGGTCTTCTGATGGTGACAGAGACCACTTTAACACTGCCATAAAAATCCATATTATCTGCTTTGAACTGGATTATATGGCAGTGTAGACACATGTCTACACTGCCATATAATCCAGCTAATGTAGCAGTGTAGAAGAGGCCAGTACCACTTCTTAAACTGCATATTCTGACCCTAAGTGGGGTCCCCTTAGCTCAATGTTGGGGTTCCTAAATATTTGCCAACAGTAAAAATTTATCAAACATGTGGTGGATGCTGCAGAAGATACTTCACCTGTACTTCACTAAAAGGGAAGTCATCTTGTTTGGCAAGCCTTAGCAAATGTTGGTTTTTAAAATCAATATATGCTTGGTTTTTATACCTATTTTATATACCTATATAACCGGGGTCACATAAACATTTCTTGAGCCAACACTGGTCACAAGTGGAAAAGTTTAAGAAGCCCTGACAAAGAGAAGGACTATTTAGATTGTAATTACATCATTTCAAATTATGGAAATTCATGTTTTCTATAGGTTAGCTCAGAGAGGGGCAAACTTCAAACCCTCCAGGTGTTTTTGGACTTCAGCTCCCACAATTTCTAGCATGAGGCTTAAGCGGCTGAGAGGGAAAAGGAAAGGGCCTGAGGCTGTTAGGAATTGTGGGAGTTGAAGTCCAAAACACCTGGAGGGTCAAAGTTTGCCCATGCCTGATGTAGTTGGATGCATCTCTGMCATTAAGCCATTCTCCACAGGCCATAAATGACAAAGTTGGGCAAGGAATATCTCAACTAAAATGTGGAATTTTGGAGAGGTCAACAGGGAGATGTTTTATTGTTTCTACTTGCAAAACTTCATACTACATGGTTGCTGTGAGTTTTCCGGGCTGTATGGCCATGTACCAGAAGCATTCTCTCCTCACGTTTCACCCACATCTATGGCAGGCATCCTCAGAGATTGTGAGGATGTCCTGCCATAGATGTGGGCAAAACATCAGGAGATAATGCTTCTGGAACATGGCCATACAGCCCGGAAAACCCAGAGCAACCCAGTGATTCCAGCCATGAAAGCCTTTGACAATTTCCTACACTTTCCTGCTCCTGAAACTGTTCATTATTAGAAATATAGGATTCATGCCCTTTATTCAAACTGGAATCCCATGGCTGGATCACCTAGCTAGCCTCATCACCAACAATGTTTAGGGCAAGATCCCATTTTGCTCACCCAATTCCCGTTTTGACTTTAGCCACAGAATTCATCCATTTTTCTTCTTTCTTGCTCTGCTTTTAGGTACAAACGTCTGAAAAGGGGTGTGACAGTTAAATACATTGAGAAAGATGGCTACAAGTTCTGTTACTTCTCCCGTGGGGAGCCTGGATCCCAGCCATCGGTGTTGATGCTTCATGGGTTCTCGTTCAACAAAGACATGTGGTTAAATGCCATCAAAGTAAGTTTTTCCCTGTTCAGATGATAAAAACAAAGAGGATGATGACTATCTAGTGAAACACCAAGTGGATTGCCATTTAATAAATAAAATACAAAATATACTATTAAATCGCACTGCACACCCATCTAGAAGTGCAACAAGATAAAAGTACGACATAAAATAATTGTGATATGGATCTTGCATATTAAAAGTTCAATAAAATTAAAATACAATACAACACATTACTTATAAACAATGCTAACAATTAAATGAGATAAATTAGATTACATAAAAGCATCTCCAGAGCAATCAACTGTAACAATGGTGATAAATTGTGCCTGAATTTGCTTTGCTGCCAAAGCAAAAAGAGAAACCCTTTCAGTTGTCATTGGTATCCCATAGGCTTGTGCAATTCGGCTGAAGGGCGATCCCTTTTTGGTGTCCAAATTTCATTGAGTACCCAGATCCATTTTGGGAACGTCCCAAAAATTGGGTAATAGAAAGATCAGTTTTTGGCTAGGTAGCCAAAAGATCTGGGAAGATCCGGACAATTGTTGGCAATGGGGAATTTACAAGGCTCCCCTTTCTGTTCCTGGGGTCCTTTCCTTTCTTCCTTTCAAGGAATCCTGGGTTTGAGGAATGGGGTTAAGGAAGCATGCGCCAAATAGAAGGGAAGAAGCTGCTCTCAGCAGCCATGTGGGCCATTTTGGGCTAAAAAAAACATGGCGGCTGAGCCCCTGCTGTCACAGCTATTCGGAGAAGCCAAACAAGCTGAAGAAGCCAAAGGAAAATGGCTAAAACGGATCCGTGCACAAGCCTAGTATCTCACAGGAGATAGAAAATCTTTTCTGAAACATGATTGGAATTGAGTTACAATTGAATAGATCTCAAGAATTTGGTTATTGGTTCAGTATACAAGGAACAGAAGAACAATTTCTGGGGCACCACGAATATTGTGTTGGTCCAATGTTGATGCATGAAAAAATCAAGAGAGAGATGAGGAGAATGAAGAGAGACAAAATGGATTCAACTCTTGGGCTAGTGAACAAGGCAGAAAATAGGGGACCAGTTTCATGACTCTTGATCAGTTTTGTATGTGCAGAAATGAATTTCTCCAAGGGCTAATAGTAAACTTTCATAAGCCATAGTAGCAATGTAAGACATGGAAAATCTTGCCATGAGTCATATGTGTGCTGTTGGTAAATCCACATGCAGTGACATCTAGTGGGAATGATAGCAAACTGTTGCTGCTTTCAGGCACATTTTCCTGCTCAAAAATTCTCTTTCAACCTACTCTTGACTCTGGACTACCAAATTATCCAGTTTGTCCAGTTTTACCAGATCCTGGATCCCTTGTCCTTAACGTCTATTCTTGTAATCAGTTGATCAAGGATCCTTGCAAAAGCCATGGAGCTTAATCAAAAACATAGCTTTCACACACAAAAACACAATTTCAGAAGCAAATTTTTTGTGTTTGCAAGACGATATCTTATGCACAAAAGAATAGTCTTTGCAGAAAAAGCCACATGCATTTCTGGAGACAGTGTTCATGCAAAAAACAAATAGTACACATTCTGTTTCCACAGTTTTTTAAAATAATAATAATAATAATAATAATAATAATAATAGCAACTTTATTTTTGTAACCCAACCCCCCCTCCATCTCCCCGAAGGGACTTGGGGTGGCTTACATACTGCACAATGTGCCTAAAACAACGCATAAAATAAACCCACCATACAATACAAAATAAAACCAATAGCATTTAAACAATAATATAAAATCAAAAATAATTTAAGATCAAAAACAAAATCATGCTCTTTGGCACACAAAAAGTCTGTTTTTGATTCTAATATTACCCCAAAATATGTTGGGATGCGTGAAAACCATTCACACTACAGAATTAAAGCACTGTGATCCCACTTTGACTGAAAGAGTTGTGTTGTATGTTTTATATGTTGTAAGCCGCCTTGGGTCTGCTTGGCAGGGAGAAAGGCAGGTTAAAATATCTTAAATAAATAAATAATTCTGTCAAATGCTGGAAATCATAGGCTTTTTTGGGCACTAGAGATCTCTGGTTGAGAATTCCAAGTAACCTTCTCTAAACTGCAAATCCCACGTTTCAGTAGGATGTTGCAATAACAGTTCAGAGGGGAATCATTACATTATAAGTTTGCTGTATGAAACAGCCCCCACAAGCAATTTTGGACCACTTCTCTACCAACTGACTGTCCTACTCTTGCCACACTCATAAATGAGTAGCCAGATGGCAACACTTGTGCCTTGGGATTTTGACTACTTGGATTTTTTTGGAGTTTTTAAAGATGATAAATCGAACCATACAATTCACCATTCCGGACATAAAGTGGCAGGAAAGGTATAACAAAAAGCATATACAATTACTCCACTAAGTATTGTCGAAGGCTTTCATGGCCGGAATCACTGGGTTGTTGTAGGTTTTTCCGGGCTATATGGCCATGTTCTGGAGGCAATTTTTCTCCTCAAAATTGCCTCCAGAACATGGCCATATAGCCCGGAAAAACCTACAACATACTCCACTAAGGTTGAAAATCCACTAATTTGAAGACCACTGTGAAGTTATTACATGAATTACAATAACTTTTGGCTAAGATCAAGTGACTATGTGGATTCTTCATTCCCTCTGTCCTCTTTTCTCAGCTTTTTCCTAGAGAGGTCCACGTGGTTTGCCTTGATATGCCCGGTCATGGAAAAACTACTCGCCTGCTGGCAGAAAACTATACCGCAGTTGAGCAAGCTAAAAAAATACACCAGGTAAGGCCTTAGAGGCATTATACCTTGAGATGTCTCAAGAGACAAAGTCTAGGCTGCTGGGAATGTTTTGCCTCCACATCTGACTCTTCCCCTTCTTCATTTATTTGTTCATTTCTTATAATATGTCTAGACACATTGTCACAAATGTGACAGCTTGTTTCCAAAATTTTGAACAATGAAACTATCGATAAAATTGTAAAGCATAGTGGTTCCTAACCTTTTTTTGACTAGGAAACACGTTTTTTGTTGTTAGCAGGGACCAAAGGTTCAGGAATAATAAACCGTGTTAATCTAAAATAAGCATTAATCAAAACTTTTAACATATTCGTTAAATGCAATAGTAACATGAATTAAGAGTACAATTATAATATAAAAAAGAACATTTTAAGTAGAAAACTAAATTCAGCCTGATATCTGAGCTTGCATCTTCTTTACAAGTTGGGTATTTCTGGGGCTAATATTATTGCTCAAAGCTACATGCATAACATCACTTACTTTCAATTGATTCCTGGATTTGTTTTTAATCACCAGGAAAGCAGAAAACCCTTGTTTGCATAAATAAGTTATGGAGAAGAGCATAAGGTAGTGCAAGGCGATTGCTCAAATTTTAATTGCTTTTTTAAGACCAAAACTCCTCAAGAGAATCAGGTTCAGACTCGTCCTTGCAGTTTCTCTCATTTTGAAATTCAGTGAACTCTTCCTGGATTTCTTCTGCAACCTCTCCAATTTCAATCATCATTAAATAAGTCAAAAATTAATATGACTACTGAGGATTCACACTCAGTAAAACCATTGGAGCATAAAATCACTTCATTTAAAACTATGATGTTCACCACAGCATCATCCTTCTCATTTCAGTTTGTTGAGTGGACTAATCTAAACAAGAAGCCTTTCCACCTGGTTGGCATGTCCATGGGTGGAATGATTGCTGGTGTTTACGCTGCCCTCTATCCATCAGATGTCTGTGCTTTGTCCCTCCTCTGCCCACCTGGTAAGTGTTGATATTCGGCTATTTCAAGGGGACTCCTAAAGAGATTTATTGTTGAATATCAGGACCCCTTCACACTGCACAACACCATGATTCCACTTTCATTGCTTTGGCTGCATTCTTTGAAATCCTGGGGTTTGTAGAATGAGTTCTCTGGCTGAGAATTCTACATGCTCTTGCCTAAATGGCAATCCAGAGGATGTTGCTATGGCAAATAAGTGGAATCATGCCACTGCATCTGTGTCCTGTGTGAAAGAATCCCAGGATATCATATCCAGTCTCCAGATCATACTGCCATATCTACACTGCCATATAAAATCCATATTATCTACTTTGAACTGGATTATATGGTAGTGTAGATCCAGTCATAGGGAGCCAAGCTGCCATATAATCTAATATTTGATCCCAGATCATCTACTTTGAACTACACTGCCAAAGCAGATAATCTGGGATAATCTGGGATAAAAAACAGGGAGCTTTGGCATGAGCTGGTCCATGAGGTCATGAAGAGTCGGAAGCAACTGAACGAATAAACAACAACATGACAGTGTAGATGGGGCCACAGTGTAGTGTAGTGGCTTAAGCACCAGACCACTACCCTGGAGACCAGGGTTTGATCCTCCAGACAGCCATGAAATCCTAATGAGTGAATCACATATATTCAGTCCCAGGTCTGCAGTCTGGATGTTCTCCAGGATTTATCGCTGACTCTTGAAGCTCATGTATTGGCGGTGGCTGGGAGGGCATTCACACAGTTAAAGCTTGTGCACCAGCTGCAACTGTACCTCCAAAAGCCTGATTTGGCCACAGTGGTCCATGCCTTTGTGACATCTAGAATGAGTTACTGTAATGCACTCTATGTGGGGCTGCCTTTGAAGATGGCCTGGAAATTGCAATTGGTACAAAGATCGGCAGCCGGGTTACTAACTGGAGCTAATTATAGGGAACATATCATGTCCCTGTTGAAGCAGCTCCACTGGCTGCCAATAAGTTTCTGGTCCCAATTAAAAGTGCAGGTTATCACCTATAAAGCCCTACACACTTCAAGTCCAGCCTATCTTCATGACCGCATCTCACACTATGAACCAGTGCAGGCTCCAAGATCTGCCAGGGAGGCCCTCCTCTCGGTCCCACCTCCATCTTTAGTGCAGTTGGTGGAGACAAGAGACAGGGCCTTCTCAGTTGTGGCCGCCCTGGCTCTGGAATACCCTCCCTAGTCTACTTAGACATGCTGCTCTACAACACTTTAAGAAAGAGTTAAAAACTTGTTTTTTCCAGCAGGCATTTGATAATGTTTAGACAGTAACCAGAACTGATTGCCAATCGCACTATTGTTATTGTTATTGTTATTAAAACCTTGTAGAACTGCAATTCCCATGATTCCATAGCATTGAGCCATGGTATCAAACTGTATTAATGGCAGATGGCAGTTTGGCCATCTGTCAGGGGTGCTTTAAATGCAATTTTCCTGCTTCTTGGCAGGGGGTAGGACTGAATGGCCCATGCGGTCTCTTCCAACTTTACGATTCTATAGTTATATGATTCTATGATTCTATAGTGTAATTGCACCCTGAGTCTGGTTCATCAGATGCAATTGATCAGGTTATTTATTTATTGTGTCAGAAGCAAATCAAGACTACAGTTGTAATGTATTTAAAAACATAAAGTTAAAAACTTGACATTATACATTATACTTGGCATTGCACATTGACTTGCAGCATGCAACCAGACAAACTGATCAGGTGCATCTGATGAAACGCTTGCCTACATAGACTAAAAAATTAGACTCATCTCACTGTGATCCTGACACATGACAATCTTGATGATTTGCTTGCAATGCATTTCTTTGAGCTTTGATCCTTTTACCCCACAGTTTTATAGAAAATCTGTATTTTTGGTAAGTCCAAAGTCTACAAAAACTTCTGTCACAAACATCTTTCTCTCAGTTATTCTCAAAATCAAAAGATCCCTCTGCAATATTCTCTGGAATTAGATCGGACTCCCATAAGGTGCCTCTGGTTTGCCAATGCTTAACTTCCTTTTTAAATGGTGGATTCTGCCTCTCAGGGCTGCAGCATACGGTGGAGAGTGAATTCATCAGGCATTTGAAGGACCTGCGGAAATCCAGCAACTCACACAACAACCCTCTCATTCTTATGACTGTACAACAGGGAGAAGACTTACTTAAACTGGGGTTGTACCAGCCCAACACCATCAACATGCAGGTGAAGGCATTGCTCTTTGAAGAGCGACACTCCTGAGAGCATAAACAGGAAAAAAGGGATGGGGAAAGGGGAACCTAGCAACACTTTTAAGACCAATTAATGTATATTTTAGCATGAGCTTTCATGGATATCAGTCAATTTTCCTAGCTGCACTGATAGTGCTATTAAACTCACTGGTTTTAAAGTATAGTTATAGAGTTGTGGGAATGGGATAGAAGGTGACAGTGTATGCAGTGATTCTTAAACTCTGGTTCCCCATGTGTTTTGGATTTCAACTCCTAGAAACCCAAACCAGTTTCTCCAGTGGTCAGGAATTCTGGGCGTTGGAGTCCACAAAACACCTGGAGAACCAAAGTTAGGAAACCACTGGGATAGAGAAAGATAACTCATAAATCTTCAAACCTCTCTGTGAGAGGATGCATCTCTGTCATGCGGGTGATAGGAATCTTTTCACATTAATGAATGAAAGTAAGATGGTATTCCCTTGGGATCCATATCTTTTCCATCAGTGGAACCACCTATTGGACCGCAGGCCTTGAAAGGAACATTTTCAGCTGCATTTTGGGAGTATCTAACCACCTACTTCTCTCTCTGAACTTGATGTCTTTTTTATTTCCAACCGCTTTAGCTCCTTAAGGGGTATCTTGAAGATCGGAGACCACACAAGTCTTTTTTCTTAAAATGTAAGTAGAAGGACAAGACTAGGATCTGGGTAGTGGTTTTGCAGAGGAACCCATTTTTTATCTAAATACAGGGCTGAACAATGACTGCTGTCCTAGGGCAGTGAATTTGCTGCTGTTGGAAGATAAGTTTTCCACTGACATACAGTGTGTTTTTGGGTGTACAGTATCTAAATCGTAGAATTAATGCAGTTTGACACCACTTTGCCATAGCTCCATGCTATGGAACCATGGGAGTTGTAACTTGGTAATACACCACTACTTTTTGGCAGAGAAGGCTAAATACCATTATTTATTTATTTACTTCATTTATATACCGCTTTTCTCAGCCCTTAGGCGACTCAAAGCAGTTATCAACAGCAATTTCAATACACACATTACAAAACCATTGGAGCATTTAAAAACAACAGCATAACAACAATTAAACATCAATATGACAAATCATTCATGTCTCATCAATAGAATCAGAATCCAATCTCATCATCCATTATTCCGTGTTCCTATAATCAATTACACTGCCTAATCGAATGTCTATTCGAATAACCAGGTCTTCACTTTCCTCCAAAATGCCAATAAGGAGGGGGCCGATCTGATATCTGTAGGAAGGGCGTTCCACAGCCGAGGGGCCACCACTGAGAAGGCCCTGTCTCTCGTCCGTTATTATTATTAATATTAATATTCTGCCCTATCTTCACGAGGGGATTTAGGGCAGATTTCAGCATACACAAACTCAAAGGCAAACATTAAATGCCTAGAAACAACAAAACAAAGATAAAGCTAAAAGCTTTTCCTTCTGGCTCTGAGGGGCAGTGCTCATCTCCGGCACCTCCTAGGTCACGCAACTGGCATGATTGCATGGACCGCTGTTTAACTTCCCGCTGAGACGGAACCTATTGATCTACTCACATTTGCATGTTTTTGAACTACTAAGTTGGCAGAAGCTGGGGCTAACAGCAGGAGCTTAGCCCATCCCCTGGATTTGAACCACCAGCCTTCCAGTCAGCAAGTTCAGCAGCCCAGCAGTTAAACCCGTTGTGCCACCACGACCTTGTAAAACTACAACTCCCCTGATTCCATAGCATACCGCCGTGGCAGTTAAAATGATGTCGTCCTGCCCTAATTCTACAATGTAAATGCACTCTGTGTCAGCTATTAATATATTTACTAAATTTATTTTTAAACCATCTGTCCATGTATAAGGTGTAATAAAAATATTGATACTGCTAACCAAGAAACACAGGAGTAAGCAATAACATTTCAAAGTTTGTGCCATCTGTTGGGAGTGCGTTGATTCTATGCCCTGCCTGACAGAATAAGTTTGGACTAGATAGCCCTTATAGTCTCCTGCAATTCTATGATTCTGTTCTAAAAAAGAAAAATGGGGTAGAAATGTCATAAATAAATAGATAAATAAAATTAAAGATGTGGCCCATGGAATAGAACAACCATTAATGTTCATCTAAAGCAGTGGTTCTCAACCTGTGTGTCCCCAGATGTTTTTGCCTTCAACTCCCAGAAATCCTAACAGCTGGTAAACTGGCTGGGATTTCTGGGAGTTGTAGGCCAAAACACCTGGGGACTCACAGACCGAGAACCACTGATCTAAAGCACATATGGCCCTGGCTAAACTACTTCAGTGGTCTACTGTGGTTCTAATTCTGCTTCGTTTTTTTGCGGGAAAGGCTTTTTAGATATGACCAGCATGGCGTCCAGGTATAGCCTTCATGACAACATGAGCAAAATCAAGGCTCCTACTCAGATCATCTGGGGAAAGGATGACAAGGTAAGGAAAGTAGTCTCTTTGATTCTTCTCTGTGCTTCTGCATTCATGTATGAACTAATGGTAATGTATTAGTGGTAAATAATATGACTTCTACAAGTACTAAGGGCTGCTGTGTGAAGGAGGAGAAAAGAAATACAGTCAGCCCTTCACATTCTCTGGGGTTAGGAGCACAGGATCCTTGTAAAAGTGGGGGGAAAACATAAAGAAATTGTTGTATTTTTTACCTAAAAGAACACATCTCTTAAGAATTTCTAGGTCATCCAGCATGACTCTTCTACTAGAAACTAAACACGAAACTGTATTGGAAGTCCTAGAGACTAGAGGAAGTTGACCGTAGAATCACAGTAGAGATTTTGAAAGAGAACGTTTTTAATGAAAGTAATGAATGAGCAAATCCACAAGAGTCAAAACCACAAATGTAGAGGGATAGATGTATTGGGTTACAGCCTGTGCTGGACGGGGTTACACTCCCCTTGAAGGTACAGGTTCACAGCTTGGGAATTCTCCTGGACTCATAGCTGAGCCTGGAATCCCAGGTTGCAGCGGTGGCCAGGGGAACTTTCGCACAATTAAAACTTCTGCTCCAAATGCGTCCATACCTTGGGAAGCCAGACTTAGCCATAGTGGTCCACTCTCTTGTTACATCCAGGATAGACTACAGCAACACACTCTACATGGGGTTGCCCTTGAAGACTGCTCAGAAGCTTCAAATAGTCCAACGAGACGTAGCCAGGTTAATAACTGGGGCGGTATACAGGGAGCATACAACTCCCATGTTACACCAGCTCCACTGGCTGCCAGTTTGCTACTGGGCACAATTCAAAATGCTGGCTTTGGCCTATAAAGCCCTAAACGGCCTCGGCCCAGTTTACCTGTCCAAACGCATCTCCCCCTATGAACCATCACAGAGATTAAGATCCTCCAGGGAGGCGCTGCTCTCCATCCCACCATTGTTACAGGGGACGAGAGACAGGGCCTTCTTGGCAATTGCCCCCCAGCTATGGAACTCCCTTCCTGGTGAGATCAGATTGGCCCCCTCCCTCCCGTCCTTCAGAAGGATGAAAAAACTTGGTTGTGGGACCAATCTTTCAGGACAGTGCAATAAAGCAGCGATAGGAAACCTTACCAGGCCAATTAGATTAGATGCAGATGATCAAGCTGGTTTTAAACAGTGTATTTTAATATTGAGACAAATGTTTTTAATGTTTATGTATACATATAATGAATTCTTGTCCCGGCATTGAATGTTTGCCGTATATATGCTATGCTCCACCCTGAGTCCTCTTAGGGGTGAGAAGGGAGTAATATAAATAAATAAATAAATATTGATTTGAGGCATTTATATTTTTATGGTCAGCTTATTGGTTTGATGGGGAGCAATGTTTTCTGTAGGCATCTATGATTGATAGTCTGTGGATTTATTGCATTGTTGATGAGAACAATGATTATGATGGACTGAGGTTTTTATTCAAATATCATCATTCTTTGCCATTCTCAACATTATACCTATATATCAAGCAACCTCCTGGATCCAGTGGACGAACTGCTGAATGCCCTCTATCCATCTGTATGTCTTTTATGTCAAAAATGGCATTGAATGTTTGCCGTGTATATGTGTATTGTGATCCGCCCCAAGTCCCCTTCGGGGTGAGAAGGGCGGAATATAAATATTGTAAATAAATAAATAAATAAATAAATAAATAAATAAATAATATATTTCATTTTTTTTTAAAAATGTGACACTTCCAACATTGCCCTCCTCCTTTCTTTCTTAGGTGATGGATCCTTCGGGAGCAGAAATCTTAGCCAAAGGCATTCCAGACTCCCAAGTGCATATGCTGGACAAATGTGGACACTTCATAACCCTGGACAGACCTACAAAATCAGGAAAACTTCTTCTAGAATTCTACAATTCAGTTTTTGGCGTAGCTAGGAACACGACACTTCCACATGTCTGGCTTTTCAAATCATGGATTTTTAAATTATCTCTAAGACTTCTTTCAGAGCTGAGACCAGCACACAAGGATTAGGAGACATGGGATATCAGATGGGATAGCTACCTTCTGAGCCACACATCAGTCCAAGAGGCATGGATTGTACTAGTTTACAACAGTATTTATCAATGACTGAATTCCTCAGACATCCCCATTAAACATACTTAGGAATGTGCAGCTTGGCTGCAATTCTGTGAGCATAGCAGGGACTCAAAGGGACTTACTTCCAAGTAAACCAGCCTAGCATTGCCTTGCATGTACATAGTCAGAACTGTCAGGAATGAGCAGATATTATTTCTTGATGAAATAATCAAAGCCAAAGGGAAACTCTGAACTTTCCCCCTCTTTTTACTCTTTGATTGTGGGTGATCTACAGTTCCAAAAAACATGGATCAAGCCCCCTAAACCCCAACAGTATTTAAAGTTGGTCAGTTGGGTATGTGTGCCAAGGTTGGTCTAGATCTATCATCAGTTGGGTTCACAGTGCTCTCCGGATGTGGGTGAACTATAACTCAAAATTGTGGATCAACACCCTTCCCAACCCTAACAGCATTTTTCGTTGTTCATGATAGGTCTGAGTGCTAAATTTGGTCCAGATCTGTCATTGGTGGGAGTCACAGTGCTCTCTGGAACTGGAGATCATCTTGGAAAATACATTCATTCATTCATTCATTCATACATACATACATACATTATATAGATAGATATAGATATTTAAACCCACCATGAATCCTCCACAAGGAGACAACAGGCTAGAAGTAAAGGAGAGCACTGGATAATTGATCTGGCAGCTTGGCATATAGAGAGACATTGATACGGAGAGAGCATCTGAGAGTGCCATTTGAGATCTCACCAGGCCAGGCAAAAGAATAAAGATTCATGAGAGCTGTGTCTGTGAATACCTCTTGTTCTATTTCTCATGAATTTCCAGGATGGCCTTTGATTTTCTAAACCCAGGACTTTGCCAAAATGAGAAAAAGTCCCATGTTTGCCTCCATTGTTTGGATTCTCCTGGACTTCCCAGGTCGACCCACTAATGACATGTTGAATGGGAGTGTAACTTTTCCTATGGAGAATCTCCTCTAACCTTCTTCCCAATTTTACACTTTAAAGGACAAGGTGGAGCGTATTTTGGTGTATTTTGGACATGATTGAATGCGGGGCCAGGAACAACCAGCATGAAGCATACAGTTCAGGAAAAGAATAATTTAACACTCACCGTATCTGAATTGCTGGCCATTTGGAGAGACACTGAGAAAGCACAAACAGCTAAGAAGACAACATTTTATGGAGAAGCCAGGAAAGAGAGTCCTCAAAGGGATGAAGAACATATGCCAAGGACTATTACCAAGCTCCAGGAGAAAATCAAAAATTATGTGTCAAACCTATAACTGTTGTTGAAAACTTTCATAGCCGGAATTAATGTGTTGCCCTAGTTTTCCGGGCTGTATGATCATATTCCAGAAGCATTATCTCGTGATGTTTTGCCCACATCTATGGCAGGCATCTTCAGAGGTCTGACCTCAGAACCTCTTGGATACATGCCACAGATGTAGGTGAAATGTCAGGAGAGAATGCTTCTGGAACATGGCCACACAGCCCAGAAAACTCACAGCAACACAATCATATAACTACCAGAGATGTGGAAAATTTGATATTTCAGAATCAAAGAAATATCGCATGTGTGTGTATGCCTATCCAGTGTGATGTATTATTATTATTTTATTATTTTATTTTATTTACAACATTTCTACCCCGCCCTTCTCAACCCCCGAGGGGGGGACTCAGTGCAGCTAACAATAGCAACAATTTGATGTCGCAATTACACAACATTACAACAATATAAAACTGTAAATACACAATCGATTAAAAACAATAACATTCATTATACAATCATATAGTGGATTGAGTTTTAGAGTATGCTTCTGGGAGACTAGAGTTATCCATTCATAGAATCATAGAATCATAGAATCAAAGAGTTGGAAGAGACCTCATGGGCCATCCAGTCCAACCCCCTGCCAAGAAGCAGGAATATTGCATTCAAATCACCCCTGACAGATGGCCATCCAGCCTCTGTTTAAAAGCCTCCAAAGAAGGAGCCTCCACCACACTCCGGGCAGAGAGTTCCACTGCTGAACAGCTCTCACAGTCAGGAAGTTCTTCCTCATGTTCAGATGGAATCTCCTCTCTTGTAGTTTGAAGCCATTGTTCCGCGTCCTAGTCTCCAGGGAAGCAGGAAACAAGCTTGCTCCCTCCTCCCTGTGGCTTCCTCTCACATATTTATACATGGCTATCATATCCCCTCTCAGCCTTCTCTTCTTCAGGCTAAACATGCCCAGCTCCTTAAGCCGCTCCTCATAGGGCTTGTTCTCCAGACCTTTTATCATTTTAGTCGCTCTCCTCTGGACACATTCCAGCTTGTCAATATCTCTCTTGAATTGTGGTGCCCAGAATTGGACACAATATTCCAGATGTGGTCTAACCAAAACAGAATAGAGGGGTAGCATTACTTCCCTAGATATAGACACTATGCTCCTATTGATGCAGGCCAAAATCCCATTGGCTTTTTTTGCCGCCACATCACATTGTTGGCTCATGTTTAACTTGTTGTCCACGAGGACTCCAAGATCTTTTTCACACGTACTGCTCTCGAGCCAGGCATCCCCCATTCTGTATCTTTGCATTTCATTTTTCCTGCCAAAGTGGAGTATCTTGCATTTGTCACTGTTGAACTTCATTTTGTTAGTTTTGGCCCATCTCTCTAATCTGTCAAGATCGTTTTGAATCCTGCTCCTGTCCTCTGGAGTATTGGCTATCCCTCCCAATTTGGTGTCGTCTGCAAACTTGATGATCCTGCCTTCTAGCCCTTCATCTAAGTCATTAATAAAGATGTTGAACAGGACCGGGCCCAGGACGGAACCCTGCGGCACTCCGCTCGTCACTTCTTTCCGGGATGAAGAGGAAGCATTGGTGAGCACCCTCTGGGTTCGTCCATTTAACCAATTACAGATCCACCTCACCGTAGTTTTGCCTAGCCCACATTGGACTAGTTTCCTTGCCAGAAGGTCATGGGGGACCTTGTCGAAGGCCTTACTGAAATCCAGATACGCTACATCCACGGCATTCCCCGCATCTACCCAGCTTGTAACTCTATCGAAAAAAGAGATCAGATTAGTCTGGCATGACTTGTTTTTGATAAATCCATGTTGACTATTAGCAATGACTGCATTTGTTTCTAAGTGTTTGCAGACCACTTCCTTAACAATCTTTTCCAGAATCTTGCCTGGTATTGACGTGAGGCTGACCGGACGGTAGTTGTTTGGGTCATCCTTTTTTCCCTTCTTGAAGATTGGGACCACATTGGCCTCCTCCAATCTGCTGGAACTTCTCCTATTCTCCAAGAATAGGAGAACTTCTGGAACTTCTCCTATTCTCCTATTCTCCAAACACACTGGATGTCTCTAGGGAAGTCTTGCCAAGGATGCTTGCCAAGAAAGTATCCTTCTAAGGTCACCATGTTTACAATTATTTGAAGGCAAAAATTAGCAAAAAGTAACTCCATATCCATAGTTGTTTGGACTAGTGGACTGCACTTAACCATTTAGTAAGGCTTGGTACAGAATATGAAATTGTAGTTATTCCTCTAGGGCAGAACTTTCCAAATATTTCATGTTGGCGACACACTTTTCAGGCATGCATAATTTTGTGACACAGTAATTCAGTTTTATCAGTAAACCAGAGGTTAAACCAATGAAGGATCACGTCCTCCCAGGCTCAGAGGAAGGCAAATGCAAACCCCCTCTGAATAAACCTTGCCAAGAAAACTTCATAGTAGGTTCATCTCAGGATCCTCAAAAGCCAGATACGACTTGAAGGAAAGCAACAGTTTGAAACACAGTATCTATTGTGTTGTCGAAGGCTTTCATGGCTGGAACCACTGGGTTGCTGTGAGTTTTCTGGGCTGTATGGCCATGTTCCAGAAATATCATCTCCTGATTTTTCGCCCACATCTATGGTAGGCATCCCCAGAGGAGAGAATGCTTCTGGAACATGGCCATACAGCCTGAAAAATTCACAGCAACACAATACCTATTGTCCTCCACTTTTACTCAGGGATGCAGACTACTTTTCAAGCACTGGCTCCATATCAGAGACTTCAAATCAGCCACACCTTGTAAGCTGTTGCTAACCAATAGTTTAAGAAATAAAGTTTGCAATGAAAGCATCACTCCTCCCTAGTCTTCTCTTTTTTTAGAAGCCTAAACCTTTGGCCAAATATTTTGGTATGCTGTGGCACTTTGAAAGCTAGCTTGGAAAATAAATTACTTGTGGTCCCAGTATCCCCAAAAAATAGCTAATTGCCATGCTATTCAAGGGAATCAGTGACTTTCCCAATTTCTGAAGTAACAAAACAAGTTACTTTTCAAATTTGTGTTGTCATTTCATTATTTTATATCCCAACTTTCTCCGAACAATTAAATTCAAAGTTACTGACAACATATTTTAAAATAATACAAATTATAAATTGTATACAAATCTCGACAAAAGTATAAATTTTGAAAAATTAGACAATTAAAGTTAAAAACATAAAAATCCCTTAAAACTTACTATATAGAAATAATAAACATGTTATAATAATAACACTTTATTTATATTCTGCCCTCTCCCCGTGGGGACTCAGAGCGGTATAAACAGATATAGTATAAACATATACCAGCAAACATTTAATGTCTTACTGCAATACAATCAGAGACACAAACACAAACAATGGCAAATGCTTCTCCTTTCATTTCTGGCTTTGGAGGCAGTGCTCATCTCTGGTTCTGGGGAAGGGGTGCTGTTCTCCATTTCCAAGCCGAGGAGCCTCCTGGTCATGTGACCGGCATGACTGCTTGAAGCATCTTATGACTTTCTTGCCAAAGCAGTACCTATTTAACTACTAACATTTGAATGTTTTCAAACTTCTAGGTTGGCAGGATTCGAACTGCCAACTTTCAGATCAACAGTTCAGCAGCTTGTTGTTGTTGTTCATTCGTTCAGTCGTCTCCGACTCTTTGTGACCTCAAGTTCAGCAGCACAAGGGTTTAATCCATTGCGCCACCGTGGCCCACCATTAAATAAAAACACATCCACTATGTTATAGTCTTCCTCACCCACCATTAAATAAGAATATCCCAGAACTTATAACATTAAAAAGGAACTAAAATAGACCCTCCGCTTTTATGTGGGTTAGGGGAACAGGACCCCAATGAAGGTGGAAAACCTACTCTGAATTGGCCCAGGAGACCTGTAAAATGATGGAAAGACACCCCAAACACCGTAACAGACATTTTGAACCATTTCAATGCAGTTTTTCATCATAATGTTTCATTGGTTTTTTTGCATAATAAAAATTGACTTATGAAAGGTCTGCAGACATGGTGGAAATGCTCTCAACACCCCCAAGAATGCATTAGGGGGAATTTTGGACCATTGGCCAAACCGTTTTGCATCTTATGCACCATATCTCCCAACTCTCCCATATTGTGGCACATGTATATGGCATCTTGGGATTTGTGGTTTCATGAGGCACCAACATCCTTTGGCAGAGAAGGATAAAGACCTTGTGAAACTACAGCTCCCATGATTTTATAGAATTGAGCTGTGGCATTTAATATAGAGTCCATCTGCCTTAATTCTTCAGTGGAGATGCACCCCTAAGCAAAAGTTAAACTTCTGTAGCCTCTCCTAGCTTATGTTTCTTAACTAATAACTTAAAATAATTAATTTATATTATATTGACCACATTCAAAAATTATTTGACTAGATGCATCTCAGTTTCCATCTGTGACATATGGGAATGTTGTGTTGAGCAAAGCAGGAGACTTCTGAATAGTGTTTACAATCTTCATTGTGTACATGGTATGAGCATGCCTTTCTCCCTGTTGTTTTCCATTCACACAATTTAGTTATTTAAAAGGTGCAGGCATAGGTCTTCACACCTACACACCACTCCAGCAAGTAAGTGAGTGTGTGTAATTACCTGGGATGGGTTAGTTATGCTATGGAGTGGTCTTTGTTTTGTTTGTTTTTTCTCTTCCTGCTGCCACAATTGCATCTTGTGATCTATATCTTTTGAAACTGGGTGGAGGAGGCTGCAAACAAGTTCTTCAGATACCTGTGGAGGTTAATGTGCTCCACTATCTGGTGCTCTGTTGAATGTTTTCCTCCCACGACTGGTGCAAAGTGAGCAAGACTCTGAACAAATTCAGGGAAAAGTCTTTGGGCAAAACATATGGCAAGAGTCCAACTGGCTCACTTTCCCTCTTCCCAGATTGCAGCTCTGCGAGAAGGTAGCTAAATGTACACAAGAAGGTACCTACTACCTCCTCACACAAGCATTGGTGTATAGGTGCATAGGTTCTGCCTTCTGTGTGCTAGTTGGGCATGCCCCCCACCCACGAGTAGCAATAGCATAGGCCAATGACTGGCTTGGGCTGTGTGTACCAGAAGCACCCAGCTGCCTGACTGCTGCTATTCCAGAAGCCCCCGTCCTCCTCCTTAAGCATGGCATGCAGATAATGTATGGTTGTGGGGCATTTCATTCCACCTATATTATATCAGAAGTTGATATATTCGCCAGAAGCTTTTCATAGAATCATAGAGTTGGAAGAGACCTCATGGGCCATCCAGTCCAACCCCTTGTCAAGAATCAGGAAAATTACATTCAAAGCACAGATGGCCATTCAGCCTCTGTTTAAAAACCTCCAAAGAAGGAGCCTCCACCACACTCTGGGGCAGAGAGTTCCACTGCTGAACAGCTCTCACAGTTAGGAAGTTCTCCCTCATGTTCCGGTGGAATCTCCTGTAGTTTGAAGCCATTGTTCCACGCCCTAGTCTCCAGGGCAGCGGAAAACAAGCTTGCTGCCTCCTTCCTATGATGGCCCTCCCATATTTATACATGGCCATAATGTCTCCTCTCAGCCTTCTCTTCTGCAAGCTAACCATGCCCAGCCCTTTAAGCCACAGGGGGTTGGACTGGATGGCCCAAGAGGTCTCTTCCAACTCTCTGATTCTATGATTCTATAACCCCAATGAATGTGGATGGCTGACTATATAACCCTTTATGTTTGTTTCTCCTTGCTTTGTTTGTTTGTTTCTACATGCAAAGATATGCTGATCATAATTTCATTGAGAAGGTGGAACAATGCTGATTTCTGGAACCAAATGTCCTTCCTGTGAATGATTGTTGCCTTCCCACTACATCTCTTAATAAAGGGTTCCTAAATTCCCATGCTAATACTTTCTAAACCCCAATCTTTAAGAATTACTTAAAATTGTTCCCAGTCTCACAAATACACAAAAACACCCCCAGCTTCCCACAGGGCATCCTGGAAGCAAACTTTACTGGATACCAAGGGCCCACGGTATGATTGTAGTAGAGACATGCCCAAACACATACATATACAGTATAGATGACGGCAATAAATGCATGACTATATTTGCTATTGGTGTAATCCTATGTAAATAAAATGAACTGATTGCTTTTTTTCATATGATGAGGAAGCTCTTTGGCTGATAGCTTTAGGAGCCCTTCAACAGGAGATGGATGGATGTCAGAAAGGATTCAAGTCAGACCAGGTGGGCAACTCTTACAGGCTTCCTGTGGTTTTCCCTAACTAGTGTATTTTCTTTGCACTGCTATGGATAGAGTGGAACATTTTCATCCATTCTTCAGTGGTTATGATTTATAGCTTCTGTTCTATTAAGCAAGACTTGAATGCCTGCTAGAACCTCATTGGACAAAGGGAGTCCTAAATCATTATAGCTGAGCATGTCTTTCTGGCAAACCAGTTCTCTTATCTTGACAATGACACTGCCTTAACCTGGGAGTAAGTATAATGCTCAGTTGCTTTCAGCAAAAATAGTGCTTGGTATAGTTTGGTTGTTTGAAATCTAATGTTATAAAAGTCTTACTTTGTTTTTCTCCTATTTTTATTTGCATTTTACAAAATTTGTTTGCTGAATCCAGGGTACAGAATTTCATATTCAGGTAGAATGGTAATACTTTTGCTTTCCTTTAGTAGCAGGTAACTTATAGTATGTTAAAAGACATTGTTACTCTATCTACCTATATATCTATTTATCTATGTAATTCAGCAATATTGTGAGAGACACTATCAATGTCCATTGATGTTGATGCTCCTTATATCAAATTATTGCTCTGTGTAATAGATGAGAATTTTCTAGTCCTCCAGATGCCTTTTTGGGGTGGTGGTGTCAGGAGCGACTTGAGAAACTACAAGTTACTTCTGGTGTCAGAGAATTGGCCATCTGCAAGGACATTGTCCAGAGGATGGCCAGATGTTTTACCATCCTGTGGGAGGCTTCTCTCATGTCCCCGCATGAGAAGCTGGAGCTGACAAATGGGAGCTCACCCCACTCCCTGGGTTCGAACTGCCAACCTTTCGATCAGCAGTCCTACCAGCACAAGGTTTAACCCATTGCTCTACCAGGAGCTTCTCTCCAGATGCATATGTTACAATTTTGGGCTTGGCCTCATGTTAGCTGCCCTGAGTCCTCGTTGGGGAGATGGTGGCAGGGTATAAATAAAGATGATGATGATGATGATTATTATTATTATTAAATATAAGTCATTCCTAGGCCACATAGCAAAAGATAAGGAATACTGGGAATTGTAGTCCAGTGACGTGTGGCAGGCTGCATGATTGCTCCCACTTGCAGAAATAAGTGAACAAATTTAATGGTTTTACTTGTGAGTGCAAATTATATTGCAATAGTTTGCTTATCATTAAGGGTTAAAGTTAATGGAATATATACTTTCAGAAAATGTGTTCCTATAATATGGAACCTGTGCTGGAAATACATGTGGAATATATGGGGGAAATGGTACATATATTTGCCTAATATGCTTGATATTTTATAGAAAGAGGTCAATTTTAGGACCTGTGGAACTTTTTCTATGTTTAGAAAATGATTTGATCTAATTTGGGTATACACTGCTTCTATAATATATTTCTCCTTCCCTATTGTATGAGTTAATGTATCAACTTTGTACACAAGTGTTTTGGTCCATAATTCCCATTTAGCAGGAAGCAGCCAGGCTTTGAAACTTCAAGACTATTCAATGCTAATCAAGGTGGCCAATTGCAACATTCACACTTGCCTCAAACAGGCAAGAGTTCTTTCTCCCACCCCGGTCATTCCAGAGATATATAAAACTCCCTTGCTTAGTTTCCAATATACCTCACAACCTCTGGGGATGCCGGCCATATATGTCAGCGAAACGTCAGAAGAGCATGCTTCTGGAACATGGCCATACAGCTCGGAAAGCTCACAGCAACCAAGTGATAGATTTGTTCTGAATATTAAAACAAATGCAATAAAATAAGTTTGTTCTACTTAAACGCTTAAAAGTGGGGGTATTTTTTCAGGCTTCATACAACCCCCAAAGAAAAACTTCCCATTTTCATTCTGGAAAGGAAAACAAACAGTCTGTTCTAGAAATCTTCAAGAGCTTCCTTTAAAAAGATCACAGCAAGCCCCTGCCCCTTATATTTAACCTTATCCTCCCCAAAACTGCAATGGGAATTTTAAAGGACTTTCTTAAAGCAAGTGTTGGCAATCATAATTGATTAAAGGTTCACTGTCTGACATTCTGAATTTTAATTAATGTTTAGCTCTTTATTTGTTTTGCATTTGTTGCATATGACATTTGTGTTTTGCTTAATAACAAACTTGCTCTCCTGTTGCAAACTTCTGTTGACATGACTATGGAGAGGCAACGGAGTCATGCCCAATCTGATTGAAATGGCAAGCATTCAAGGTTAATGAGCAGCATGTATTCAACTGCCACTTTGATCTTGCATCCTTCAACTGCTTCTGCACATTGAAATCTAAATGGGTATCTAAATTGCTAGGGAAATAAATGGCTGGGGGTAGGAGGATGTCTTGAGTCATATCTTCCTTCTCTTACCTTGAAAATGTATGTCATATACAGAGAGTCTGTATGTGATACTGTTTAGACTTCTCCACACAGTGAATTAGGGAATAACCTTGAGAGTTGTAGTTTTGCAAGGTTATTAGCCTCTCTGCCAAAAAAATGCAGAATTCCATACCACAGAACCCATGGCAGTTAGAATAGTGTCGAGCTGCATTCATTCTGCGGTTCAGATGCACCTCTAGTTTCCCATAGAAAGTCGTTCAACTGCCTGGGAGCAGCCACTGACAAGGTCCTTGTCAAATGTGCCCATTCAGTGGAGGAATGAAGAGAGTCTTCCTCAAGGCTCTCAAACTTGGCTCTCAAACTTCATATGGGAAGATAAGGCATTTCAGTAAAGCCTCATCGGGAATAGGTGGGAAATTGAAACATTTTAATTTCAGTCACTTAGTATTAAGCCAATATTGCAGAAGTTCTTGGTTACAGGTAGATTGATATTACCAAGGAAGTCATGGCATCGAGTTTGCATGATTCAATTGGGCAGCTGATGACCGAGGCTCTTGGCAAACCCTCAACCAAAATATCATCATAGGTTAAAGTTCATTGATGGCAAATTGCCAAACTCCTGGTACAAAGTTACCTGGGAAAACCAAGAGCTTGAACACCGTCCTACCCTTAATATCTCAGCGGCACCTTAGATCCAACACTAACATTTAGGAAACATTGTGTGAACACCAAGCACAAAGTAGCTGCACGCAATAACGTCTGTGGAAACTTACTAAGAGCGCATGGGGTGCAGACCCAAATTAATAAGAACATCAGATTGGCTTTGTCTTACTCAACTGCTGAGTATGCCTGAGGATGTCTTCAACCTACACCTGTTGATATACTCTAAAAGCTAGCTGGCATTGCTCCCCCCCCCCCCCCCCCCCCCCCCCCCCGATGGGAAGTTGCTGACAATTGTGAGAGAAATAAAACTGAACATTGTGAAAGTCACCCACTATATGGCTATCGGCCTTCTCCCAGTAGACTTTAATCAAGGAAAAGTTTCATGAGAACCACCACTCCTTTAATGTCCCTCCAACAACAGCAAGAATATCCCTCTGGGCAGAAAAATCAGGCAATTCCAACTGGATGGCCCCCCACAAGGGTCTTCTTCCATGGGCAAGACAAAAATGGGCAATGTGGAAGTCCCTGAACAGACTCAGAAGTGGAGTGGGCAGATAAAAAGACAACCTGGCAAAATGGCACTAACTAGAAGAATCCTCCACCTTGTGCAACTGTAGAGCAGAACAAACAACTCAATAGCTGTATGCTTGCCTACAATGCCCTGCCTCATGCACAGGGTAAGAACTGTTAAAAGCTACAGACAATGCAGTCACTGTTGCCCATTTTTGGCCTAAAACTGTTTAGCTGCCTGTGATCCCTTTATTTTATCAGATTTATACTTATTTATGCAATGCTTTTGATATGAAATAAATAAACCAAACTCCTGGTAGTACTTTCCCTCAAACTCCATCCTGGAGGCAGGTCCATCACAGAGGCTATGTTAATGGTGGATTCTGATGTCCTTTTATGTCCTTTTCATGTCCTCTCCTTCTTGATTGCCTTATTTTTTTTCTTGCCCAGGTGATAAAGAAGAACTCCAACACGCAGTCATGGAATTGTGCTTGCACAAGATATTCATGAGGACCATGTCCTTCATTCTGTCTGTCTTGATCTTTACCTTCCTCACCATGTACCACCTGGGCCCTTCACTAAAGATATTCCAGATCATGATGTGGTGAGTGTATATCTAGAAATGTACAGGGCAGTTGTAGGAACACCAGCACTCTGCAGATCTTTGTGGCCAAAACTCCCTTCACAGCAAATGAACACGGATCATGGGGATTGTCATTCAAAATATGTGAATAGTAACAGCCTTTCTACTAGTGATATATTTGCCATGGAAATCAAACAAGACTTTGATGAAATAGGTAACTTCTTAAGCAGGGGACGGTATGTTCCTCAAGACAAGAATCCCAGGGAATAAAAGTATAAATTATGATAGCCAGTAAAGAAATGGTCTAATCATTTTTCCTGTCTGTTTGGGAGACAACACATAAATTCCACTTATGCTTCCTTGTCTCTGTGCTCCTGAAAGCAAAGCAAGGCAGATGTTTTACTAAATACGTGATATCCACCAGCTGAATATTAATGTTTCCATAACACTTACATGGGACACGTCTACACTTAGAATGAAAGGGCAAAATGTAGGGTAGAGATACTATAGGCCTCCAAATCCTGCCGGAATGCAACTTCCAGACTCCATCACCACTGTAAGCTAGGACTCCTGAGAGTGCACCAGGAATTTTTAGAAAAACAATATACCTATAGAAGTTATAAACAAAAATGCAACATAACAAAATGTTGAAAGCCCATCAGAGTTTATATCTAAAACCCTAGGGGTGCTTTCTCACATTTTATTTGTTGTGGAACCATTGCTTTTTCTGCAGGAGGCATTTTGCATCAAAATGGTTGTGATTATGCACAAACAAACCTTTTACAAAAATGTCTCAGAATGCCATTAATCATTAGAAGCTGATATACAAAACATTTCTAAGCTCTGTCAGAGAATAAAGGGGCTCTTCTCAGGCTGAATTATTTTAAATGTAGTTATTTACTGATCATGTCAGAAGCAAATTGGGAATACAGTTATAATGTAGAAAAAACTTGGCATTGTACTAAATGTTCTTTGACCAGAAGCTGGCAGGAGCACCCAGTGGCACAGTTGGTTAAATCCTTGTGCCAACAGGTCTGAAGACCGACAGGTCGGAGGTTCGAATCCGGGGAGAGTGTGGATGAGCTCCCTCTGTCAGCTCTAGCTCCCCATGCGGGGCATGAGAGAAGCCTCCCACAAAGATTTTAAAACATCAAAACATCCGGGCGTCCCCTAGACAACGTCCTTGCACACAGCCAATTCTCTCACACCAGAAGCGACTTGCATTTTCTCAAGTCACTCCTGACACAAAAAAGAAAAAAAATCAGAAGCTGGCCACTTGGAGTGCCTCTGGTGTTGCTATAATAAGGTCTTCCACTGTGCACATGGCAGGGCTCAGGATGCATTGTAGTAGGTGGTCTGTGGTTTGCTCTTCTCCACACTCGCATGTCGTGGACTCCACTTTGTAGCCCCATTTCTTACAGTTAGCTCTGCATCTCGTGGTGCCAGAGTGCAGTCTGTTTAGTGCCTTCCAAGTTGCCCCGTCTTCTGTGTGCCCAGGAGGGAGTTTCTCATTTTAAATAAAGAGGTTTTGTTCAATGAAGGCAGAAGCTCCGATGTAGCTGCCGAGTTTGATTTTTAAGATAAGCTGGAACAAACCTTTGGCCGTTTTGTAAGACTCTTCAGCCTGAACTTCACGTGGAGCTCTCCGAGGTGCTGCTACCTGCTTTGCTTGGAGTCTGTGCCTCACTAGAAACTATAAGCTGATGTCTACTATGTCATATGCTGAGTTTTTCTTCACTTGATATTTTCTTATCATAGTACAGTCAGCCCTCCACATTTGCAGTTTTAAATTTCTTAGATTTGATTATTTGCAGATTTGATTAGCATTATCTCTCTGGAAATTTCCAGGTCACATGTGTCAAACTCTAGGCCTTTGCGCCAAATCCAGCCCTCCATGTCATTTTATGTGGCCCTCCAGATGTTGGATTACAACTCCTGTATTCCTCATCATTAGACATCATGACTAGAGCTGATGGGAGTTGTGATTTAATGACATCTGGAAGGTTGAACTTTGTTCTGTTTAGTCAGAATAGTGGGGTTTGGATTTAGATGCAAGGCTTGTCAGTGTGATGTCTGTCTTTAATCTATTCTTTCACCTTTCTCCAACCTCAGAGTCACAAAGTTTGTTGGATGGCAATTCCCATCACCCCTGATCCTCATAGCAGATAATCAAAAGTGATGGGACTTGTCATTTAACAACATCTGGGTAAAAACTAAAGAGCACCAATGTTAAAGAAGTTATAGTTGGCCCTCTGTATCCACACATTCTCTGTCCATGGATTCAACAACCCTTAAAAAGCAACCTTCGGGATGAAAATGAGCTGGCATCCCTCCACATGACTTCTGATAGAAATTGCCCATAAAGTTGCATTGGAAGATGTAGAAGTTTCTAAAGAGAAGATATATCTAGCCATTGGTAGGTCCTCCAGCATGATACTATGGTCAGTTTCCAGTGGAAGTTGAACACAGAGTTGCATAGAAAAACCTACAAATTCCTAGAGACATGTTATCTTGTTCTCTTCATGATTTCCTACTTTCTCAAGGTCCTGCTCCCCTAACTACTTCAAATGTGGAGGGCCTAATATACTGGGGAGACTGTGTTCCTTGAGATGTCACCTGACTTTTACTCCGATCAGCCATAGTCAGAGGTCAAAATGACACAAATTATAGTGCAATATCAGAAGAGTCCTAGGTTTTCCAATCCTGGTTCACTGCTACTCAAATGGGATCCAAATTCATGTCTAGCACTGCTGCCTCACACTCAGCCTGGAAGTCCATAAGAATGGTGCTGGCAGTATTGGATCTGATGTTGAAGAGGCTGTAGATAACCAGAAGCAGTAAGGATACGCCAGGAAGGAAAAAGATGGAATGGAGACAATAGACCAAACTGACAACCCAAGTATGGCAGAGTAGGAAGCTGAATAGGAGGCCAATGCAAGAAAGTGGGCCATAAGAACTATGGAATTTAGTGGACCAAACTTGCTTTATCCCTCAGGAATGTACCAAGTAGAAGAGATCGGAAACACAGTATGAAATGGTGTTATATTATTTTGTTAGCATTCTGGGCATGCCTGGCGCCAGAACTCATGAGGATTCTGGTCCTATTGTATGTACAATCCCCAAAACTGCAGAGCTCGATTACTGAACTTACTATTGAAACAGGAAACCATGCATAATAGCAAACATTTTTAAAATGAATGATTTCCACCAGATCTTAACACAGAGACTTACTGGAAGACCTAGAAAATTGCTAAAGAGATATCCTCTATAGGAATTTTCTAGGTCCTCTGATGAGACTCTATAGCAGTAGTTCTCAACATGTGGGTCCCCAGGTGTTTTGGCCTACAACTCCCAGAAATCCCAGCCAGTTTACCGGCTGTTAGGGTTTATGGGAGTTGAAGGCCAAAATATCTGGAGACCCACAGGTTGAGAACCATTGCTCTATAGTAACTTCTGCTGGAAGCAGAATCATTTGGAGGATCTAGAACCATGAATAGTGAACACCTTTGAAATGAACTACTTTTTCTGGAAGTCTCATTCCTAGAAAGGATACCCCTCAAGGCCCTACATTCCTGCTATGCTAAGATGTTAAGAACAGCTTCCTGCTATTGGAGGTTGTATAACATTTAAGTTGATCTGCTACAATGGGTCTAAGAAAGTCCTAAAGGCTTTTATAAGTGAAGACTTTTCTGAATTATTCCCATTTCACAGAGTGATCATCCAGTTTAGATAGCAAAGCTGACAGAAATCCTAAAACTTTAATAGGAAATTATTAAAGTATTCTTCCTGTACCAAATCATGTTGCTTCTCTCTGCATTCTTTAGGTACAAACGCCGGAAAAGAGGCGTGAAGGTTAAATATGTGGAGCATGACGGCTATAGGTTCTGTTACTTCTCCCGTGGCAAACCTGGACTCCAGCCCTCCATTCTGATGCTTCATGGGTTCTCATTCAACAAAGATGTGTGGTTAAATGCCATCAAGGTATGTTTCTATTTATTTTTCTTTTGTATAGCTTTGATGCTTAACCATGGCTGACGCGACTGAAGGCACGAAAGCAGAGGAAACAGTATTGTCTTTTTTCCTATCCCTTCCCACATCTCTTGTGGAGGAGTTTCCCAATGTATTGTGTCCTATCTACTTGCTTCCCACTCAGCTTCCTGAGATAATGCCTTCATCCTTTCTCTTGGCAGGACCACTTCTGTGACAAAGAATACTGTACTAGATGACTCATTAGATGCCATTGTAAACAGATGCACATATCTCACCCACTAGCACACCAGTCTCTCTAATAGTTAAGAGACACACACATGCCCAAGGTTATTTGTACTTGACACACTTTTACATGAATGGAAAAGTAAGGTATGATATTTGACGTCCTGTAAAATCTCAACATCTTTTTTTAAGGCAACACCAGAGCATGAATCTAGCCCCCACCCAAACATAGAATGGGATGGTTTATTATTTCTTTTAAAGTGAAGGAGACTATTTGCTATGGTTTTCAATGGTGATGATGTTAGACCAGGTATGGGCAAACTCAGGCCCGGGAGCCAGATGTGGCCCCTTGGGCTCTTTTCTCAGGTCCTCCTCTCTCACACCATCCTATCCTCCTTTCCTTCTCTTTTCCCTTTGTTCCTCCTTCCCTCCCTTCCCTCCCTCTTTCTGCTCCCTTCTTCCTTCACTTCCATCCTTTTGCTTGTCCTTCCTTCCCTCTTCTTTCCCTCCCTTTCCTCCCTCTTTCTCACTCCCTTCCACCCTTTTGCTCATCCTTCCTTCCCTCTTCCTTCCCTCTCTCTTTCTCCTTCCCTCCTTCCCTCCCTCCTTCCCTCCCTTTTGTCTTTCCTTTCTTCTCTCTTTCCCCCCTCCTTTCCTTCCCTCCATCCATTCTCTTCCACCCTTCCTTCTATCCATCCTTCTCTTTTTCCTTCCTACAAGAGAGGAGATTCCATCTGAACATTAGGAAGAACTTCCTGACTGTGAGAGTCGTTCAGCAGTGGAACTCTCTGCCCCGGAGTGTGGTGGAGGCTCCTTCTTTGGAAGCTTTTAAGCAGAGGCTGGATGGCCATCTGTCAGGGGTGATTTGAATGCAATATTCCTGCTTCTTGGCAGGGGGTTGGACTGGATGGCCCATGAGGTCTCTTCCAACTCTTTGATTCTATGATTCTTTTTCCTCCTGGGGATGTTTAGCTGGGAGACGAGAAGGTTGAGAAGGAACATGAGAACCATGTTTCAAGATTTCAAAGGGTGTCCACCTGAGGATGAGAGGAAAAACTGATTTTCTGCTGCTCTAGACACCAGGACACAATGAAGCAATGGTTTCAAATGGCAGGGAAAGAGATTTGACTTCCTAGAAAGACCTTCCTAGAAAGTGGCATAGACTACTTTGGAGTGTGGCAGCCTATGCCACTATTTTCTGCGGGGACTGTCTATTGGGAGTGTTTTGATTGTGCCTTTCTCCATGGCAGGCGTTTGGACTGGATGGCCCTTGGGGATCTCTTCCAACTCTAGGATTCTACAGTATATCAGAAGTAGGCAATACAGGGTCTAATGGATACACTTTTCCTCTCCCATCCACCATTTCATTCTGACCAAGGCCAACCCTTTCGGGATCCAAACATTCCCTGTCTTTCCTTCAATTTTTGCTTCCGAAAGAGAAGAGGAAGGGGAGGAAAAGGCAGGGACTCCCTACCAGCCTGCCCACCCCACTCCAGCTCACCATATGATTCCCAAGTTAGAAAGTTTGTCCATGCCTAAGTTAGAGGATGAAATCAAAACTTTCTACCCTCCCATAGGCATTGTTTCTGGAATACTATGTGTACAGCCAGCCTTAAACCCTTGTGCCAGTAGAATTGCTGACCAAAAGGTTCAAATCCAGGAAGTGGGATGAGTTCCCATCTGTAATTTCCAGTTTCTCATGAGGGTACATGAAAGATGCCTCCCATAGGATGGTAAAACAACTGGGCATCCCCCAGGCAACATCCTTACAGATGGCCAATTCTCTCACACCAGAAGCCACGAAGAAAAAATAGAGATTAAGCATCCACAGATTTTGGTATCCAAAGAAGGTATGAAACCAAACCACATTAGATATCAATGGCCTGCTGTATTATGTCACAGTCACTTCATTTCAGAAGTACCACCAGCATGACTCTCTTTGGTCTCTACCTGTTTCATGGGATGTTGTCAGAAACATATCTGTATGCACCTGCCTATGATTTGAAATGAAATTGAATACAATGGTGTTCAACTACATTGATCATTCCACCCTTTGGTGACAAAGTGATCCAGCTAGTATTGCTCAGAGTCTTTGGTTTCACAATCCATGTTGTCTTTCCACAGCTCTTTCCTAAGGGCCTCCACTTGGTCTGCCTTGACATGCCTGGACATGGAGAAACTACTCGCTTGCCAGGAGAAAGTTACACAGCAGCTACTCAGGCTCAAAGGATACACCAGGTATATTGACTGTGGCCATCATATCTGTAGGATATTTTGAAAAGTCGCAGTTGAGTGTTCCTAGTATATTATTCCTCATTTGCCCAAGATTGGGGCAGAAAGATTGAGCATCCTTTTTTTCCAAACCCTCAAAATCTGAAATACTTCAAATTTTAGAATTTGCCCACCTTTGCCGTTACACTCCTGTGTATAAGCATGGATGCACCCACCCCTTCCTCTACACATATCATAACATCAGGAATCTGTTATAAGAAACTGAGTACTTTCTTGGTAAATGACCCCATCAAGCCTTAAAGTCTTCCTCTCACTTAACACTTCTTGGTTTCTGCTTCATGTTTCAGTTTGTCAAGTGTATCGATATGGATAGACAGCCTTTCCACTTGGTTGGCATTTCCACAGGAGGAATGGTAGCTGGGCTTTATGCTATACTTTATCCATCTGAGGTCTGCTGCATATCACTCCTGTGTCCAACTGGTGAGTGTTGGAATAAATTTACTTCAAAGCCTGTCTCCAGGCCATAGGAAAATGGATGAAAAGGAACCTTTATTATTATATGAGGCAATTATGTTAAGTCTCTCATCAGAATGTACATGAAAAAGGAGCAATGATGGAATATTTTGAACAGCTCTTAACTCTGCCTTTCTGGAAGGTAGCTTTCTAAAAACTGTGACATGTTAGTGTGTCAACTGCAGTGTGTAGGTCGAGCCCCCGGTGGTGCAGTGGGTTAAACCCTGTACCGGCAGGACTGAAGACCGACAGGTCGCAGGTTCGAATCCAGGGAGAGGCGGATGAGCTCCCTCTATCAGCTCCAGCTCCTCATGCGGGGACATGAGAGAAGCCTCCCCCAAGGATGATAAAACATCAAAATCATCCAGGCGTCCCCTGGGCAACGTCCTTGCAGACGGCCAATTCTCTCACACCAGAAGCGACTTGCAGTTTCTCAAGTAGCTCCTGACACGACAAAAAAAAAGTGTGTAGGTGTCATTCTAACGTAATTAGCAACCTCTAAGTCTATGTGAAGTAAGTAATAATATATTTTTTAAAATGTAATTGACGGGTTTTCATGAGATGTTGTGTTCCCATACATTGCATTATTACTATGTATTTATGTGTCCTTAACTCTTATAGGTTTAATCTCTGGTTTGCCAAGAAAACCAAATTACTGTGTCGTGAAATGATGCATTGTCCAAACAGCTCTTACCATCAGGAAATTCTTCCTAGTGTTTAGATGGAAAATCCTCTGATATATTGTGATTACCAAATACATCAGAGAATCCATGAGATGGGGTGAGCTCCTGTCTGTCAGCTCCAGCTTCCCTTGCAGGGACATGAGAGAAGCCTCCCACAGGATGGTAAAACATCCAGGTGTCCCCTGGGCAACATCCTTGAAGACATCCAATTCTCTCACACCAGGAATGACTTGCAGTTTCTCAAGTTGCTTCTAATACGATAAAAAAGAGAGAAGCAGTCTAGAGTCTCATGTTTTAGAACTGGTTCCCCTCAACTTTTCATCTGTGCCTTCTTTCCAACTCTCAGGTCTGAGGTACCCAGCAGATAGTGACTTGGGCAAGCACTTGAAGAAGCAGAAGCAATCCATGAAATCGGACAACTTCCTTAAACTTGGTTTGTACCATTCCAGCCGAACAAATCTGCAGGTGAGGGGAGACCCAACAATGAATGTTCTCTGGTCTGATATTGGCTAATACTGTATCTGACTTTTCGAAAACCATCCTTCTCTTGAAATCTGAGAAGAAAGATTTGGTAATAGACACTCTGTATAGGACACAGTTTCTGCAATTGTTTATATTAAGACACCTGCATTGCCAGGTGAGAGATTTAAATATCTTAAATTAGTGATTCCCAAGTTCTAATCCTCCAGGTGTCTTGGACTTCGGTTCTCAGAAATCTCAGCTGCATTGGCTAATGATCAAAGATTGTGGGGAAAACACCTGGAAGCTAAAGTCCAAAACACCGGAAAATCCAGAATTTGGGAAACACTACCTTAAAGGCAAAAGGTGCTAAGCAGAATCAGCCCTGGTTAAAACTTCGATTAGAGACAAACAACAAAGACTAGATTGGGTAGGGTAAATTTTAGAGGAAGGAACTGACAAAACCATCTTTGAATAATTCATATCTAAGAAAACTCTATTAAACTCATAGGATCGCCCTGACAAGTAACTTGAAGGCACATACCAACACATTTGCTAGGTGCTATACAAAATAGAGATGCTCTGTCAAAAACTCACTGGGTTACTGTGAGTTTTCTGGACTGTATGGCCATGTTCCAGAAGCATTCTCTCTTGACATTTCACCCACATCTTTGGCAGGCATCCTCAGAGGTTGTGAGGTCTATTGGAAACTAAGCAAGTGGGGTTTATTTATGTATTTATTTAAAGTATTCATATTCCGCCCTTCTCACCCCGCTGGGGACTCAAGGCGGATTACACTGTATGTATACATGGCAAACATTCAATGCCATAGGCACACAACAAATATAGACAGACACACAGAGGCTATTTAACATTCCAGCTTTTTTCATGAGGGTATTCTGGCCACCAGGAGAGCTGTTGCTTCACCGTCCATTTGTGACACTGATGAAGTACTTCCTCGTTCTTTGCATGCTTGCTGGAGATTTTTATGGCATCATAAATTAGACTCCCTGCATAAGCGGTACCTAAATTTCCTATTTGACAGATGCAACTGTATTTCGGGCTGCAAAGGTCGACAGCAAGCTACAGAAATCGGTCTGAAGCTCACTCCGACCCGGGCTGGCTTCGAACCTATGACCTTTTGGTCAGTAGTGATCTTAATGCAGCTGACTCCCAGCTAGCTGTGCCACAGTCCCAGGAGAACTGTGGAATAGTGTCCAGGTTGGAATAAAGAACTCTTGTCTGCTTGAGGCAGGTGTGAATGTTGCAATTTGCCAGCTTGATTAGCATTGAATGGCCTTGCAGCTTCAAAGCCTGGATGCTTCCTGCCTGGGGAAATCCTTTGTTGGGAGGGGTTAAGTGGCCCTGATCATTTTCTGTCTGGAATTCTCCTGTTTCCCGAGTGTTGTTCTTTATTTACTGTCCTGATTTTAGAGGTTTTTTATACTGGTAGCCAGATTTTGTTCATTTTCATAGGAGATCATCAGAGTTTGGAACTCAGTGTGATACCGCAGTTTGGAAACTGGACTAGGATTCTGGAAAACCACAGTTGGAATCCCCCCTTAGCCTTGGGTAGGACCCACTCTTTCAGCTTCAAACCTGCTCTGGGGAAATCTTGCCCAGGAAATTTTAGAACTGGATTCCTATAAGTAGTAATCTAACAACATCAAACATGTGCTTGATGAAATTGAAGATAATCAGAGGGTGAAAAAGTTACTTTTCTGAACAACAACTTCCAAAATACAGACTAGTAGGGGAGTTGTAGTAAAAAAAAAAAGAGTAGTTTCCTAACTCTAGCTTAACGAATTGCACGCACTCTAACTGAATGATATTAAAAGCTCTTGACAGCTGAAGTGGATCTGAATCTAGAGATCTCACAAATGAGATCCTGTCTGATTTTGGTATCTAAGCAGGGTCAGTCCATGATATTACTTGAATGGGAAGATACCAGTGAATTTCTGGTGCTGTGGACTGTATTTCAGAGAAAACCGCCTCTGAGTATTCTTTGAGAAAATCCTATGCAATTCATGGGGTAACAATAAATCAACAGGTAGCTTGATGGCACATATACGTAAATTGTTTAATCTGGAGATTTATTTCTAACACACACAAGAACAGTTAGACAAGAAACCTTTATTAAATGGCTGTTCACAGTGTAGGGAACCATGTATAAAATAAAAATGAAAGATCTAATAGTAGAATACAACACTTACACGCGGTGTTTTGATCTTGTATTTTTTGCAATTCTGATACCAATTTCTTGTGTCTTTTTTTCACCTTAGCTTCTCAAGGGATATCTTGCAGCTTCAAGACCAGATAAAGCTTTTTATATAAACTGTAAGTGCAATAGCATGGCAACAAAGAACTAACAAAAATTTAGAGCTTTCTCCTGACACCATATGAATAATGGATGACATTCAAACTTTGCAGTGTTTGGTGTATGATAGCCTCATAAGGGTTCTCCCATTATCAGAGAAACTATATTTTCAATGATTAAATAAGGACTTGTGTTTTTAAGAGCAAAAGAATCACCATAGGGTTATATGTCCTCAGTATTACTTTGCTGTCTTTTCAGAATTGTGGAGTATGAATTTAAATATAAATACATTAAAATATTAGCATATTTCTACTTAAATGGAAAGCATCTTGTAGTACTATAGCATACTATAATGCTAGTATTAAAAACAGCCGCCCAGATTTCATTTCCGGTTATCGTTGCCAATCACCCAGATAAACTTTTTGTCTAGATGGCATTTTGTATTATAGCACTATAATGCTATTTTCCTGAATTACCGTATATACTTGAATATAAGCCAAGTTTTTCAGCCCTTTTTAAGCCCTTGTCTTATACTTAAATCAAAGTTATTTATTATTTTACTCTGTTGTTATTATGATTATGATTATTATTACATTTGTTATTTTACTCTTTATTATTTTATTACATTTATTATTTTACTCTATTTATTATCATTATTGTTATTCCATGTTTTATTTTACTCCATTATTGTTATTACATTTATTATTTTTACTCTCTTTATCATTATTGGAAAGATACATGAGCACATTTACATTGAAGATTTACATTGAATATTGTAGTACTATAGCATACTATAATGGTAGTACAGTATTAAAAACAGCTGCCTAAATTCCATTTCTGGTTATCACTACCAATCGCACAGATAAACTTTTTGTCTAGATGGCATTTCGTATCATACCACTATAATGCTATTTTCCTGAAGTACCGGGTATACTCGAGTATAAGCCGAGTTTTTCAGCCCTTTTTTAGGCTGTAAAAGCCACCCTCGGCTGATACTCTAGTCAAAGTTATTTATTATTTTACTCTGTTACTATTATTATTTTATTACATTTATTATTTTACTCTATTATTATTATTACATTTATTATTTTACTCTATTATTATTGCATTTATTATTGCATTTATTATTTTACTCTATTATTATTGGAAGAAACGTAAGCACATTTACATTGAAGAAGGTTAGAATAATGGTTTAATCAGAGTTAGGCAGTCTTATCTTAAATTACAGTTTTATGTAAATATTCAAAACATTTAACCTACTGATGCATCAATTAATGTAATTTTATTGGAATCTATTTTCGTTTTGAAGTTTACGAGTATCTGCTGCATTCTCTGCCCTTGGCTTATACTCAAGTCAATACGTTTTCCAGATTTTTTGTGGTAAAATTAGGTGCCTCGGCTTATATTCGGGTCGGCTTATCCTTGAGTATATATGGTAAAAATATTTTTTGGTATTTTAAAAACATAGCTGGGAAAGCAATTCATTCTTTGACCACCAGCTAGGCATTGTCTTAGTAAAATTGGTTTGAGGCTGTGAGGGGATGCTGTGTGTGTGCCATCCACAAAAGGGCTGGAATGCTGCTCTGTAGCATCATTTACTAAGTATCAATACATGTTATCTTATATTAATAAGGTGTGTCCGTGTTCCGTGGTGAGAGATGACTTGGGAAGGTCTGGAACTACACCCAGTTCTGGCAAAAAGGGCAGCCAATGCATTCAACTTGGTAACAAAGGCAAGCTTCCTTTTACAGGGAGATGAACCTTGTGTGGTTGGAACATGTGCCAAATGTCTGTTATCTTTACAATCTGAATTGATGGATGGGTGGTTCTCCCTACTGTTACCTTTGCTGCAAATTTTAGTTGCAAAATGAGAATAGAAATTCCTATGTTGAATAATAGTTCCCAGAAAACTTCGACATAAATGAACTTTAGACAAGGTGGCTACAGGATTCAGGGCACTAGAGTCCCCAACAGTAACTTTTCCAAATCCGATGTAAAATAGACATGAACTTAATCTTAGGCCTTACAGTCAGGAGCTCTAACAATGATATCAAACATTGCCTTTTGTCTCCTTCTTTCTGGATAGACTATTTAGACATCGCCAGTGCAAAGTCCAAGTACAGCCTTCATGACAACATGAGTAAGATCAGAGCTCCCACCCAGATCATTTGGGGAAAGGATGACAAGGTAAAGGCCCTCAAGCCACCTTCCTGCCTGAGAAGCTTCTTCTCTATCTCATCTCATCCCATCTATTTATATTATATTATATTGCAGTTTGAAAACATGCAAATGTGAGTGGATCAATAGGTACCGTTCTGGCGGGAAGGTAACAGTGCTCTATGCAGTCATGCTGGCCACATGACCTTGGAAGTGTCTACGGACAACACCGGCTCTTCAGCTTAGAAATGGAGATGAGCACCAACCCCCAGAGTCGGACATGACTGGACTTAATGTCAGGGGAAAACCTTTACCTATATTATATTATATTATATTATATTATATTATATTATATTATATTATATTATAATCACTGAATCCCAGTTCACAGGGAATGGGCATTACAACAGTAGCAGCAGCAACAATAACAATCTTGTCTTATTGGTTTTCAGGTGCTCGACCCTTCAGGAGCTGACATTTTAGCCAATGCTGTTGTCAATTCCCAAGTCCATATGTTGGAGGAATGTGGACACTTCATAGTGCTAGATAGGCCCAGAAAATCTGCAAAGCTCCTCTTGCAATTCTACCATTCAGTCTGTGGCAATGTGGAGAGTAAGATATGGGCATAATACCATTAAGGAATCAAAGTGATGGCTTATTCCTGTTGGAAATAGCAACCTTCCATGACTCCATTAACTGTTTGTAAATATGTATAATTGTTAGCCTATCTTGTATGTACATTTTTGGTTTGCCAGTTTGACTGTACCTCTTTGGTGTGGGAAGGGCTTCAGACACAGGACTCCATTTTGTATTCAGTTTGCATCAGACCTCAGTGGAGGTGGATGCATGTTGCTGTTTGTACTTAGTAGAGAAGTATGATTTTCAGACTTTAGTGAGTACAGTTATACAGTTTGGACTATATCTATATGCTTAAAGACATGGGACTATGGACTTGCATGCTGAATATATACAAGAAATTTGTTAATAAACTTGAGATGTTATTCTTAAAGATGACTACTTTATTTTTGTCTCTTGAGTGCATGTTTTAAACAAGGGTTTTAAAAAGGAGAGTGGATGGGCACCTTCAACTTCAAAGAAACAACCATCCTCTGCTAAACCAAATATATTTCTGTATTGGCATGTGTTTATCCTTGGCACACAGCCCTATATCCAAGACTATCAAGGCAGAAAATCCCACAATATTTGCTTTGAACTGGATTTTCTGAGTCCACACTCAGATAATGTGGGATTTTCTACCTTGATATTTTGGGATATAGGGCTGTGTGGAAGGGCCCATATAAACCTCACTTGCCTAGTTTCCAACAGACCTCACAACCTCTGAGGATGCCTGCCCTAGATGTGGATGAAATGTGAGGAGAGAAAGCTTCTGGAACATGGCTGTACAGCCTGGAAACTCACAGCAACCCAGTGATTCTGGCCGTGAAAGCTTTCAACAACACATTGAACAAGTTATAAAGCATGTTGTTATGAACGGCTATCAAATTCCAGGTCTTCTCTGAGCATCTCCACTGAGAGGCGCTCTTGAGACATTAATATGGATAACTTTCAGTAATTCTGGTTCATAGTGTGTTAAAATGCCTACATGAGTCATAGGAAAGTGTCATTTATTGCTAGAAGAAAACCTGAATTGGGTTGTTGTAGGCTTTTCGGGTTCTATGGGCATGTTCTAGAAGCATTCTCTCCTGACATTTTGCCTGCATCTGTGGTAAGCATCCTCAGAGGTTGTGAGGTTCGTTGGAAACTGGAAAACTGAGTTTATATATCTGAATTCTTCCTACAATCAACTGCAGGCTTTCTGTTCTCCCGTCCATTTTGAGATGGTGTTTGTAGCTTAACAAGCATATATATATATATATATCAGCCTTAACAGGTATCTCGGTCATATTATATATATCTCAAGCACATCGACCAAATAGAATAGAATATGACCGAGATACCTATACCTGTTAGGGCTGTTATTCTTCACAAATCCAGTGTCCATGAACTCCTTAAAATTTGATTAGCAAGAATGGTTGTGAAAAGGAGATTCCACCTAAACATTAAGGCCCCTTCTACACTGGCATATAATCCAGATCATCAAAGCAGATAATCCGCATTGTCATATTTGAATTGCATCATTTGAGTCTACACTGCCATATAATCCAGCTCAAAGTAGATAATATGGATTTTATATGGGGCCCTGGACAATATGAGCTATTTGATGGTGAAGTTGGCTGCCCCAGAATTTAGTGGAGTCTTCTTCTCTGGAGATTTTTTAAACAGAGGTTGGATGGCCATCTGTCAGGAATGCCTTGATTGTGTGTTCCTTGCATGTTCCTTGCATGGCAGAATGGGATTGGATTGTATGGCCTTTGTGCACTCTTCTAACAGTATGAGATGTATGTTGTTGAAGGCTTTCATGTTTGGTATCACAGGATTATAAACCCCATTTGCCTAGTTTCCAACAGATCTTAAACCCCTCTGAGGATGCCTGCTACAGATGTGGGCAAAACAGAACACTTCTGGAACACGGCCATATAGCCTGGAAAACTCACAGCCACCCAATATGAGATGTAATTCTCCTGTCTTACATACTTGTTTATATTCTTTACCACAAATGTATTCCATGTTCAAGTTCTACAAGCACTATGTTGCTTGTAAGATATACTATTATTGCCACTTCATCACACTAGAGAATAAATCCGGTTTCTGCCTCCTGCAGAATTCCGGGTTTGTAGTTTAGTCGTGAGGTCAATCCTCTGTGATTTTTCTGGGTGAACAGGGACTGTGATATTATATGCCAATCTACAGAATTTAGCTGTAATTTCCAACATGGGGTTTGTAGTTTAGTGAGGCTGTTAAAGGCTCCTCTCTAAACTACTATGAGGTCCATTAGAAATGATATGCCTAAACTATACAATGTCTATGAAAGACAACCTGCCTAAATTTAATTGTCAGATCTCCCTTAAGGGTGTATAATGATTTAAGCTCATAATTAAACATAATGTGGATTTTTTCTCTAATTTTGAGAAATGTCAGGATTGCTCTTCACAAACAATTATGAATCTTGAAAATATACTGGCATTGCAATACTTTTGAAGTAGACATATTGCTCTTCGCAGATGCAGACATGTACACCATACTTTATTAACAGAAATGCTTCCTTACTATAACTTTAGTAAGACACCCTACTTGCCTATCAATAGACATACATATATGCTGTGTTGTAACTTTGTTTTAGGGAGTTCATTCAGGCATCCACAAAGATTGTAACCTTTTATGAGGGACCAGCCCCCATGAAAGGAGAGGTGTAACAAATTAATTAATTTTAATAGGAATTTTTATAAATGTTTTATTAAGTAATATATAGTGCAAGCAGGCCAGTTTAAACTGTAGCTGCTTGTTGGCTGCATTGCCATAGTAGCATAGGTTTCATTAGAAATGTATCCATATCTCTCCAGGCAGGAGCCAAAAGGGATGGAGCTAACTGCCAACTAGAGTGGAGCAGATATGTTAAAAATTTAGTCTTTGACCAAGGAGTCAAAGTGGAAGGTTGGTTCTGGCTAGTTGGGAGTTGAGCCAAGGGAGTTGAGCCAAGTCGAAGCCTTCAGCCTGATTTGTTTAAAGTGTCAATTGAAACTATTTGAATTAATAAATAGCTGTTTAGCTAAAAGGGGAAAGAAACCGCAGGATTGTTCTGTAACTTCAGTGGGATAGCTGGAGGGAAGAAAAGGCAAGCCAGCGCCTTGAATATCAGTCAGGAGAGAAAAGATACTTTAAAGTAAAATAAGCCTAAACCAGTCTGGTAAAAGAAAAAGCCATTCTGGAGTTATATTGGTAACTGTTTCAAGTGCTTGTGACAACACTTGTCACAAGCACAAGTAAGTGTAACAACATCTAAGAAATACTGAGCAACCAGCAAGATTTGTATTGCCTGAGAATTCTTGAATAAACATTTTCTTGTTCAGTTAATCATAATAAAGACTTGTGCATAGTTATTGGGGAGAAGATTTACCTCAAATGAAGGTGGCTGAAGATTTTGAAGAAAGGATCCAGGTTATGGTAATGGTTGACTCCTTTTAAGTGCCTCGGGCAAAGCATTTTAAAAGTCAAGTCTCACACCAGCAAATACAAGCTTCACGCAAACATACAGACTTAAATAAATAAATTGCTCAGTCATAGTTAAGCTACCCACACTATCATTTTAAATCTCCCACAACAGCTCTGGTTGCTCTATACAATATTTTATTGGTGGCAGTGGTGGGATAGAAAAGAAAGTTCTCCCCCTACCACATCAAACTGCCTATGCCTCCACAGGAGGGTATAAAATTGTGCTGAGTTTTGTTTGTATGTGCTAGAAATAATCTCTCCTTAAAGTAATTAGAGGACCAAACAAATGAAGTGTCCAGCCAATTTCTGCAGAACCTGTTGCTCCCAACATTTGTGTCAAATAATGTATCTCTAATCACACACACACACACAGAGAAAGTGACTATTTTTTTATTATTGCGATGAAAAGGGAAAATCTGATAGCACACCTGGCTGCAATTGTGGCCCCAAAATGCATTGCTTTCCCCTTCTCTCCTCCTTCCACTGACACAGGGGAGAAGCCATATAAATGTATAGAAAACGGAAGGGCTTCTCTCAAAGGGAACATCTGCGCTATCATCAAAGGACCCACACAGGGGAGAAGCCATATGAATGTATACAGTGTGGAAAGAGCTCCTCTTAGAGTAGATATCTGCATCCCCATCAGAGAACTGACACAGAAGAGAAGCCCTATACATGCATGGAATGTGGAAAGAATTGCAGTTCAAGTGACCATCTGTGTTCCCATCAAAGGACCCAAATGGGAGAAGCCACAGAAATGCATGGAATGTGAAAAAGAAGCTTCACTAAAAGTGGGATAATCAAAGCAGATAATCTGGGATAATCAGATAATCTGGGATCAGCTCCTGGGATATAGGACTGTGTAGAAGTGACCTTGGAGACCTCGAGGAGGAACAAACTCAGCCACAGATGCCACTTATGGGACAAAGAGAAGCAGGAATTTGTGTTAAGTTGATTTGTTTTAAGTGGTCTTATTACTATTAAAAAGTGTAGATTGTACATTATTAGCTATTACTATTTTCCTGTGTAGAAACGTGTAGATTGTACATTCTTAGCTATTACTATTTTCCTAGGGAAAATAGGGAATTCTGGGAATGTTTAGTTTGGTGAAGCACTGACACTTTTTGGCAGAGAAAACTAATAGCTTTGCAAACGTATAACTCTCAGGATTCCATAACATGGAGCCATGACAGCTAGAGTGGTGTCAATCTGCATTAATTACACAATGTGGATGCAGCCTGAGTGAACTTAACAACATTGCAAAAGGGGAAAAAAAAGGATCAGGCTTAACAAATAAATCCTAGCTGGGGAAATTAACTGTGCTCAGCCACATTTGATCTTACACAATCACAGTGACATTTCGGTGTTTATTTCCTTTAGATCATTTGATGCATGAAATGTTTGATTCTTGAATTATGCCAATTTCTTATTTATTGTGTACCAAACCGAAGTGTGGAAGTCCATGATAAGGTCTATGGGTATTTTGGGTGAATCGAATAATAGGAAATGTCCGCATTTATCCAATAAGTGCACTTGGGTACCAGGAATAGCCCTGGCTAAAATTTCTGCCCCAGATGGATCCAATACCTGAAGAACAAGAGTTGAAATACAGAATATCAGTACTTGATCTCAATGTATTTTTTTAAAAAACAAGCAAACCTTGTTTTATCTCAAAGTATTTGTGGAATTGTATAGTGTGTCTGTCCAGATGGCATTAGTCTCCATATGATTATGAGTTTCAACCAACATAGACCCATTAAATCAACAAAACTGTCATGAGTGTGGCACAGAACCTATATTGGGAAATGATGCTACGAGACGTAGCAACAATACTCTTTTCTCCAACCAACCACCTTTCACAACAGCAGTCTCCCCACAAGCCTGTCCATTTCCTGGTCGGTGGACAGCAGGGAGCAGCATACAAACATCCAGGCTGGACAATCTCCAACAGCCAGCCATAGGGACCTCTAAGGCCCCTTCTACACTGCCATATAAAATCCAGATTATCTGCTTTGAACTGGATTATAGTGTAGACTCAGATAGTCCAGTTCAAAGCAGATCATCTGGATATTTTTTTTGGTTATGTCAGGAGCGACTTGAGAAACTGCAAGTCGCTTCTGGTGTGAGAGAATTGGCCGTCTGCAAGGATGTTGCCTAGGGGATGCCCGGATGATTTAATGTTTCTGGATGATCTCATTTGATAATCTGAATTACATTGTGGTGTAGAAGGGGCCTAGGTTTTACTCCACATGACCATGCAGATAATGTAATTGCTCTGCATACAGCTATAGGAAAATGGCTGGATACATGTCTGTCTCCTCCCTGGTTTCTACTGACCAGGAAATGTCCAAGTTTTAGGGGCCCAGAGACAATTTTATACAACATTTTAATAATTCTGTATATGACACACTGAACCTTTAGAAAGCAAAGGCGTCCTGACTCAGGCTGGATCTACACTGTTCTATATCCCACGATCTGATCCCAGATTATCTGTTTTGAACTGGACTCTATACTGCCAGATAATCAGGGATAAACAATCTAGGATCAGATCTGCATGATAGGACAGTGTAGATCGGACCTCATGTAATCCAGTTCAATGCAGATAATCTGGGATCAGATCCTGAGATATAGGGCAGTGTAGCTCCAGCCACAGCCACCCATGTGGATGATTTCGGAGCATTTGGGGTTTCAGAATTCTGGATAAGGGATGTTCATATGAGCCAACTCCATAACACCTTTTGCTTAATGCACTTGAAGATGACTGTTTGGAACCACTTCGGAATTTGAAGATCTGCATGATGGCAGCACTTGGAAAATTCTCTTTTTTAGATGACTGTTCCCAGATTTTGGCTTTTGACATGGCTGTTAAAATTGAAAAATAACTTTTAAATTCTGCCATGTACAGATTTTGCAAACAATTATTGCCCATCCTATATGATTTTTTATATTATAAGTGCCCCTTCAACTTGTTCCTTTTGAGGAAAATTTCAGGGTTGATGAATCATATAATAATAGAATAATAGAGTTGGAAGAGACCTCGTGGGCCATTCAGTCCAACTCCCTGCCAAGAAGCAGGAAAAATGCATTCAAAGCAAAGTGGGGGAACTGAAGTCCAGCTATAGCCCCTTCCACACTTTCATATAATCCATATTATCTACTTTGAAGTGGATTACATGGCAGTGTAAACTCATATAATCCATGTGGATTATCTACTTTGATAACCAGGGCTATAAAGCAGTGCAGAATGGGCTTATGTCTTTCTTGGGCAGTCTCATTATTTGCCCATTGGTAAAAATGGTTGCATTTAAAAAAATGATAATGACATTGAAAATCGGAAATCCTGCATAAAGATTTTTAGCTCGGAGGGGTTCAAAACTGCCTCAAGATGGATGAGAAAAAGAAGGTGGGCTCCTCAGGAGTGTCTTCTCTAGCTGCCAAGGGAAACGGCCTGGTTGGAGAGCAAAGAGGAGCTGTCCTCCTGCATCCAAGGCCTCTTCCACACAGCTGTATAAAATACACATTGAGCAGTGTGGACTCAGAGAACCCAGTTCAAAGGAGATATTGTGGGTTATCTGCCTTGATATTCTGGGTTATATGGCTGTGTGGAAGGATCCCAACTGAGTCAGACTCCCAACTGTTCAGGATACAGAAGATCCTTCCTTGTTCCCACAATCAACACCAGTTATTGACTCATCCCACCACCCTTTCCTGGAAATATTGCAGACATCCTCACTTGGAGGTCCAGTGGGGAAGCAGAACCCCGGGGTCTCTTCCTGGCGTATAGGAAGTCTAAGAGAGGGCAAGAGAAGAGTTCATTCTTCAGATTCTTCTCTATGCATAGCTAGGACAGCAGTCTGGAGGCAACTTCATGGCTGACCTGTGGTCATCAACCATGTTCTTCACCCATGTTCTTCACCCACCACATAAACATGCTGTTGCTGAACAGGTATGGGAGCTCTCTGAATTCTGTCTCCTCCCCCCTCCCAATTTGGGGTCCACTCTTAGCAGTCCTATTATTCCTTTGTCATAAAAAGTTGATAGAAATAAAAGAATGAAGTGTGTGTGTGGTTGTATGTACAGGAGAATAAATCGATATAGAATAAAGCTCTCTATTCAATGTCACCCTTTTAGACCCCGACACTCATTTAAGAAATGAATTGTCATTTGAACCAAATATTTCCTGGGTTTTGACACGTGCCAGGTTTTGACAGGTGGCTACTTGTCCTCCGGTCCGCAATGGAGCCCTCTTGACCCTGTTGCCATCAGCATCCCAGCCATGGCTGACTCCTCAGTTCCACAACTAGCGCTGCGTTGGACTCTTGACTGTTGCCTATTTAGACTACCTCTTTGTTGTTCCAGAGACACCAGTTACATTTTCCCAAGTTGCCAGTTGAACCTTTATCTTTAGATGACTCTCCTGTATATCATTCTCACAACTAAGAAGTACTACAGCTATAAATAACTTACAACATCATCCTTTCCCCAGATAACCTGCATTGGAGTTGTAATCTTGCTTATGTGGTCATCAAGGCAGTGCATGTTGTCATCCTCGGTGATGTCTAAAAAACCTTTGCAATGAAAAGTAGATTTGTTATCAAAAAGGCTTACATAAAATTTCATTCTTGGAGCCAAAGTGGTCCCATAAGATCTCTCACCTTTTCATTTTCTCCTCCTTCTCAATTTTTCTCTGAGCTTATCTGGACCAACACCACAAAATAAAGAGCATAGGAGCCCCACAAAAATTGGGGGGAGGGTGAATTGTTTTGATTTTTCTTTTGTTTGTACACCACTTTAATTGCCATGCTCCAATACTATGGAACCCGGGGATTTGTAATGCACAAGCATTATTTGGCAAGAAGTCTAAATACCTTGAAAACTACAAGTGTGCAACTTCTTTGTACAGGTTGAGCATCCCTTATCTGGAATTTCAAAATCCAAAAGATTCCAAGATCCAAATTCATTCTCATGGGTGGTTGAAATATGACATCTTTGCTTTCTAATAGTTCAAGGTACCCAAAATTTGTTTCACTGACCATCAGGTCATGTATATAAGGTGTATATGAAATATAAACAAATTTTATATTTGGACTTGGGTCCCATCTCTAAAATATCTCATTATGTATACGCAAGTATTCCAAAATCTGATGGAAATATCCATAATATGGGGCACTTCTTGTCCTGGTATTTTGGATAAAGGATGCTCAGCTTGTAGAAAAAAACTAAGAATGAGAGAAGATTGAAATTTAATAGAAACATTGCAAGGCATTGATTGTAACACTGGAAGGCATAGGAAGGATTTTGTATTAGAGGAACAAAGCATCCCATATTTCTTGCAATGGGTATGCTTGCAAATGTAGTGACCCCTGATCATTGAAACCAACATTTCTTCACTTTGTGTGTACATTCCCACGTCACTTCATGTTGTACTTACATTTTGAGTAAAATTTGTTGTCATGTTCATGCAGTTCGAGTAGTCCTTTCATAACCTAGGAAGGAAAAAGAGTGCATCATGGTCGGCTAAAGATTAGGCAATACATATGTAGGGTTCTTATTTGAAAACAATGGTCAAAATTCTAGATGAAATCAAGTGAAGTGTAGCCCTCCACTGAGGCAGCTTCGTCCCTTGCCTCCTAGGCAGCTACCAGGGTGCTGTCTGAATGCCTGCGCACTCCCATCCAGTGAAGGGTGCTGCAACAGGAGCTAGTACATGGTAGGTTTCTGCATTTCGACTGAACCCCAATCTGTTTCTGCTGGCCAGATACCAGCAGACCCCCATATCTGTTTTCGTGCCTCCTGAAAATGGGCAGGTAGTCGAATAGCCGTTTTGTACTGCAGCTGGAAAATACGGTGAGATCTGGCCCATTGGAAGTAATTGGGGGGGGGGAGCTCCCCTTACCATCATTTTGGGCAATTGCATTGTTTCTCCTTATATCCTTCATTAAGACCTGGATTAAAAGCATCAGAGTTAAGATACCACTCTTTCTGTGATCCTTTCCCTATGGCCTGTAGAGGAGACCTGGGCTTAATGCTTTGTTAAAGCTGTTTATACTCTAGAGAAGACAGGCGCGCAAACTCTCTCCCCGCACACATCTTTCCAAGGCATTTTAAGGATTCTTCTCACTTCCCAGAGAAGGAAGAGCAATGACCTGGAGCTATCCTACCCAGGGCTTCCTTTAAAAAGCCCTCTCTTTTCTCTTGATTTGCACTTGATTTGCACTTCTGCCTGGAGTGGTGCCTGCCTTTTCCCCCCTCTCGCCAGGCATGTAGCCGGGGGGGGGGGGGGGGGGCTTCAGCCCCCCCCCCCGAAATTCTCAGGGTGGTCCGCAAGAAGGCCTTACTGGTACATTATTTAAACTGTTATGTTTATTCATATCATGATCTGATCACCAAGCTCAATATATCCCATATGCATGGGGGTATTGGGGTAACGATACAAAAGGTTTGCTAGGGTAGACCCTCTTTCACTCAGACTCAGCCCCCCCCCCCAACAAACTCACCCCTGAAACAAAATCCTGGCTACGGGCCTGCCTCTCGCCTTTCTGCTTTGTATTTAATGCTTCCTTAAAGCTCGCTAACATCTGAACGTGATGCCTGCATGACCAGCATGAAGAAGGGCACAATCCCTTTTTCCATCTTCTTGATCAAATGGGCACTGTCCCCTTTTTCAAGCCAATTATAGAGGTGCCCTGTTTTGATGTCAGCAGTAGTGGCTGCAATGGCCTGTGGCTGACATGGAGCTCTGTGGCCAGCTAGGAGTGGTAATGATGGGAAGACAGAGGAGGAAAGCTGAGCACTGACACAGCAGGGCTGTGCTTTCCAACCATAAACAATGATCCTAGATCTGGATCTTCTCCAGGGAACATTTATACTGGGCTAAACTACCCAGTATAGACATGCTCTAAGAGACATTGTCGTATTAATTGATAGAATCATAGAATCATAGAGTTGGAAGAGACCTTGTGGGCCATCTTGAAGATAGGGACCATATTTGGCCTCCTCCAAGAACTCTCAAAGATGATTGCCAGTGCTTCCGAAATGACTTCGCTAGTTCTTTCAATACCCTTGGATGTAGTTGATCTGATCCTGGGGACTTGAATTCGTTTGGAGCAGCCAGGTATTCCTTGATGACTTGTTTCCCTATTTGGGGTTGGATTTCCCCTAATCCTATATTTTATGTTTATGATTAGCACTAAAACGAATGCATGTTGTGAGAAGGTGAGAAGGACAGGATACAAATGTACGAAATAATCCTTCATCGACTCCATATTGCTGAGATTTAAGATGACTTTCTTTTGTGAGAAGACTGAGGCAAAGAAGGTATTAAGTAGTTCTGCTTTTTCTCTATCTCCTGTCAGCATTGCCCCATCTTCTCCTTGCAAAGGCCCTATCGCCTCCTTGTTCTTCCTTTTTCTACTGACATAAGCAAAGACGCCCCTTTTCTTGTTTTTAATATCAATTGCAAGCCTGAGCTTGTTTTGTGCTTTAGCCTTGCAAACCTTTTCCCATCAGAAGTTGGTTTTTGTTTGAATTCTTCTTTGGTGATTTCTCCCCTTTTCCACTTCTTGTGCATGTCTCTTTTCATGGACTGTTGCAGACCCCAGCATTAACAGCCTTCCAACAAGCCCTTCAACAATGGTTTTCCAGATTTTACTGAACCAAAACCCTCATAATTCCTCACAATTGGTTATGTTGGTTAGAGTTGATGAAAACTGCATTCTCCCACATCAACTAGAGTGCCAGATTTGGCCACTCTTGACCTGAAGACCAGTCTGCTTACTTTACCTATAATTGGGTTAGATGCCTTATTAATTTTAAAAATAAATCCACAGTCCAACAAAAGTAGTATGAAAATTTTTCAATTGTTGATTTTTACCTGACGGGGTACGAGCTTAGAACTGAACGTGGCAATTTTGAAAAGGTGTCTTGATTCCTTTATATTCAAAGGTATGAGAGGATTACTGCAAGCAAGTTTTTGGTTTTTCTTTAACTCCTTCAAGTGCTTTATGAACTCATTATCTTCTGGATACTTCACACCTAAAAAGAAAAAAAAATGAAAAGGAGCTGAGGACAAGTAAATACACACAATCACATTTCAGTTTTGTACCCAATTGAGGGAGGGAAATATTATGTACATTCTGGAAATAGGCAGAAATGATAATTGACCTTCCTTCACTGAGGTTAGGAGCATAAGGCCATTGTGAAAGTGGAGAAACCACGAATTTTTAATAAATGCAGTTTCAACCCAAGACAACAGCTTTCTAGGAATCTCTAGTTATATCAAATTCATAAAATTGAAAATAGTCAAATCTGCCAAAGTTAAAACCACAAATGTGGAAAGCGAATTGTAATTTGAATGAGTGAATAGAAGACAGGTATCTGTGGTTATAATTCCTACTCTTCCCTCAGACAACTCCTATACAAAACAGATATTTTAGGGGCCCTTTCACACTACACAATGATAGAGCTATGATTTCTCTTTAGCTGCCATAGGTGCATCCTATGGAATCCTGGGATTTGCAGTTTTGTGAGGCATCAGATCTCTCTAAATATCGAAATATTTCGGCATCAACTTAGACCAAACGCTAACATTTAGGAAACATTGTGCAAACACTAAGCACAAAGTAGCTGCACGCAATAACATCCTGCAGAAACTTACTAATAACAGATAGGGTGCAGACAAAATTAATAAGAACATCAGCCCTGGCCTTGTCTTACTCAACTGCTGAGCATGCCTGCCCCATCTGGCATAAATCTGCCCATGCCAAGCAGGTGAATATAGCACTGAATGAGACATGTAGAATAATCACAGTATGTCTTAAATCTACACCTGTCTCTACAAGTTAGCTGGCATTGCCCCCCCCCCCCCCCCGTGTGCAACGGGAAGTTGCTGACAATTGTGAGAGAAATAAAGCTGAACATTGTGAAAGGCACCCCACTGTATGGCTATCAGCCTTCTCCCAGTAGACTTTAATCAAGGAAAAGTTTCATGAGAACCACCACTCCTTTTAATGTCCCTCCAACAACAACAAGAATATCCCTCTGGGCAAAAAAATCAGGCAATTCCAACTGGATGTCCCTCCACAAGGGTCTTCTTCCATGGGCAAAACAAAAATGGGCAACTTGAAAGTCCCTGAACAGACTCAGAAGTGGAGTGGGCAGATCAAAAGACAACCTGGCAAAATGGCACTACCCAGATGAATCCTCCACCTTGCGCGATTGTGGAGCAGAGCAAACAACTCCACATCTGTATGCTTGCCCACAATGCCCTGCCTCATGCACAGAGGAAGAATTGTTTAAAGCTACAGACAATGCAGTCACTGTTGCCTGTTTTTGGTCTAAAATTATCTAGCAATTTGTGATCCCTTCATTTTATTGGTTTTATATAAACTATTTTATCAGTTTTAGATAAAAAATATTTTGTGCAATGCTCTCTTTAATCTCCCTCCTGCGTCTCACCTTTGCCTAGCCAATTTCCTTTGACTACAGGAGTATAATCTACAGCAGTGGTTCTCAACCTGTGGGTCTCCAAATGTTTTTTTGACTTCAACTCCCAGAAATCCTAACAGCTGGTAAACTGGCTGGGATTTCTGGGAGTTGTAGGCCAAAACACTTGGGGACCCACAGATTGAAAACCACTGATCTAGAGCATTGTTTGCCAAACTCAGCTCTTCCAGATGTGTTGGACTTCAGCTCCCACAATTCATAACAGTTGGTAACTTGGTTGGGATTTCTGGGAGCTGAAGTCCAAAACACCTGGAGGAGCAGAGTTTAGCAAACACTGATTTAGAGATTACACCAGACATCTTGGCTTCTTCACCTACAAATAAAGTGCTTCAGAAGTCCCTTGAAATAACTGAACTGAAGATACTCACCTGCGGGGCAAAGGAGGGACAAGGCACAGAGGTCTGATGGATAGAGAGCAGCATAAACCCCAGCAATCATTCCGCCCATGGAGATGCCAACTAGGTGGAAAGGCGTTCTGCACAAACCCGTACATTCAACAAACTGAAATGCAGAGTACAACTGAAGAGATGCATTGCACTGTATCTTGTAGCTATACAAAGTATTTTCTTGTAAAAAGCTTTCATCAATCTCTTTCATATCTAGCACTTTGATACAATTTTAACTACCTTTACTGCATCCCCTAAAATCCAGAGATTTGTAGACTTGTGAGGTACTTAAATTTCTAAGCCAGAGAGCTCTAGTATCTCAATAAGCTACAATCCTGAGGATTTTATAGCCTGGAATCATGGCAATTAAAGAGGAGTCATGACACCATAATTATGTTAAAGAGACCTCAGGTCAGAGAGGGAAGAAGGCTGGAGATGACGGGTCATCCCCTCATTCCTTCATAAGAGGAAGTCCACATGAAATGGAGAAAAAGAGGGGATGCAACATGTCCAGCCCAAAATTTTCTCTTCTTATCACAAATAGCTTCCTGAAACACCCTGTTTCTATAAATACTCATTTCCAGAGGGATACAACAACATGCAATTTCACTTTCCCACTCCATTGTAACCAAATCGCTCTCAATCTCAAACAGGGCTTGAGAGGAAGGACTTACCTGGCGTAACCTTTTGGCTTGATCCACTGCCTTGTAGTTGTCTCCTGGCAAACAAGACGTTTCCCCATGTCCAGGCAAGTCCACAAATATCAAGTGGGTGTCCTTAGGAAAATACTTAAGAGGGGAAAACACACAGAAACATTGCAAATTGGGATTTTTGGGAACAAAGTGGTTATTTTGCAAAGTTCTCTTTTCTAACAACAACAACAACAACTAAGACTGACAAAGATTTGGAACACAATACACCAGACATCACAATTGTGGAAAATAAAAAAGTTTGGATTACTGATGTCACCATACCAGGTGATAGTCACATTGAGGAAAAACAACAAGAAAAACTCAGCCATTATCAGGACCTCAAAATTGAACTGCAAAGACTCTGGCATAAACCAGTACAGGTGGTCCCAGTGGTCATTGGCACACTGGGTGCCATGCCAAAAGATCTCAGCCAGCATTTGGAAATAATAAACATTGACAAAATCACAATCTGGCAACTGCAAAAGGCCCCCTTACTTGGATCTGTGCGCATCATTCAGAAATACATCACACAGTCCTAGACGCTTGGGAAGTGTTCAACTTGTGATTTTTTGATATGAAATCCAGCATATAGATCTCGTTTGCTGTGACATACTGTGGTTTTGTGTCAGTAAAATAATAATGCTTTATTTATATCCTGCCCCCTCTTCCCAAAGGGACTCGACACGGCTTACAACATGAGAAAACAATATACATGATATTTACAATAAAAAAATTAAATCAATGTACTGTACAATTGTCCAACTGTGTCCATTTGTGATACTTTAAAAATACTGTATTGCAGCTTGGATGGGACCCCGCCAATGAATCCCAGTTGCAATGGGCCATATTTCAGAGGAAGGAATTGGCAAAATCACCCCTGAGACGCCATTTACGCTGCTATATAATCCATCTTTTAAATCCAGATTATCAGCTTTGAACTGGGTTATATGGTAGTGTAGACTCCTATAAACCAGTACAAAGCAGATTATCTGGATTCAGAAACTGGGACCCCTTCATATAAAATTCAGATTGTCTCCTTTGAACTGGATTATATGACAGTGTAGACTCATATAATCCAGTTTCAAAGCAGATAATCTAGATTATCTGCTTTGATAATCTGGATTATATGGCAGTGTTGAAGGGGCCTCATATAATCCAGTTCAAAGCAGATAATCCGGGATCAGATCCTTGAATATAAGGGTAGTGTAGAAGGGGCCTTAGAGTCCCCAACCATGAGGACTAGCAGAGTATTTGTGTGTGCTAAAGCTATGGCTAAGTACAATGTGTTCAGCCCTGGAAATATAGCTGGGTAGGAGAAGACCAAGTAAAGGTCACAGTTAAACAATTTGTGCAAATCAGCAATGACTGGTATTTTAACGACCTCTTCACACATGTCTTTTGCTAGCAAAAGGGCAGGCATGTAAGGTATGTCGTAGCACTCTGCGCACCCTCCCTCTTTACCCATCACATGGTGGGGATGGGACAAGGCGCGTTGGTGTTGCCGCATTACCCTTTCCCCCATCTGATGGAGGAAAGGGCAACAAAACGTGGATAGCTCCAATGGATATACACTTTCATCTCTATGTAGCTCTAAAATACACTTTCCTCTCCATGGTGGCAGAGGAAACATCTTACAATACTTCCCTTCCACTTCAGAAGGAATTGTTTTCATGTTAGGAGCGACTTGAGAAACTGCAAGTTGTTTCTGGTGTAAGAAAATTGGCTGTCTGCAAGGATGTTGCCCAGGGGACACCCAGATGTTTTGATGTTTTACCATCCTTGTGGAAGGCTTCTCTCATGTCTCCGCACGGGGAACTGGAGCTTGACAGACTGGAGCTTACCCTGCTCCCCGGATTTGAACTACCAACCTTTCAGTCAACAAGTTCAGCCAGCACAAAGCTTTAACCCATTGCACCACCGGGACCCTGGCCTGCCCCATCCAGGAGGAAGGGCCAAACCAGCATCATGATGGATCTCAGCAAGCCCCATCCAAAAGAGGTAAAAGGGGCCATTTGAAGCCCAATGTGATGAGGTCATAAGAGAAAGAAGGAATCATACTGAGATGCTCATTAGCCACATGTTCTTGTTGAGCGAGAAGCCGTGCAGCAACAGGATGGAGGGCTCAAAACTGGGCTTTCCTCGGGAGAAGTAACAGAACCGGTAACCCTCGTGCTTGACATAGTTCTTCTTTAACCCATATTTCTTAGATAAATACCTAAAGACAAAATTAATGTTCAGACACATAAACACAAGAGCATGATCACATGGCACCATTATCATCATCAGAACTTGGAAAATATAGTGTTTGAACTCCCATTTGCATCATCCCCTTGCCAGCAGGCATGTAGCCAGGGGGGGGGGGCTCGGGGGGCTTCAGCCCCCCCCCCCCGAAATTTTCATGGTGGTTCGCGAAAAGGCCTTACTGGTGCATTATTTAAACTGTTATGTTTATTCATATCATGATCTGATCACCATACTCAATATATCCCATATGCATGGGGGTATTGGGGTAATGATACAAAAGGTTTGCTAGGCTAGACCCTCTTTCACTCAGACTCAGCCCCCCCCCCCCGAAACCCCCCCCCGAAACCCCCCTGAAAAAAATTCAGCCCCCCCCCCCCCCCGAAACGAAATCCTGGCTACGGGCCTGCTTGCCAGCATTTTGCTGAACCTTTGGTGCTTTGTTGCAATTGTGAAGCTAAAAACTGTATCATTGGCCCTCCACTTTTGTTGAGGTTCAAGGGACAAGATCCCTGTGAAAATTAAAAGTTTGCAAACTTTTAAAACTCTGTTTTTAAGAAATTGAATCATCACTTCTCTAGGAATTTTTGAGTCCTTCACTGGAAGCTGACCATAGAATGGCCCCTTCTACACTGCCCTATATCCCAGGTTCTGATCCTAGATTATCTTCTTTGAACAAGGCAGTGGAGACCCATGTAATCCAGCTTCAAAGCCTGAATGCAGCCAAACTTCCACATGTGTGAGTTTAATTTTTCCGATTTGATTAATAGGGTCTCTGTTGAAATCACTAGGTCCTCTGGTACAACTCTATGGTAGGCTTCTTCTGTAAACAAACAAAAAATATCACATTGAAGAACCTAGAGATTATTTGGTTGGATCTACACCGCCATAGAATCCAATTCAACTAAGACCATCTGGATTCAACATGTTTAATTATTCAATTTTTATGAGGATTGAATGAAAAGTAATGCCTCCACCTTCGTAACTCCTCAACATATGGCAGTACTGGTATGTGGCAGGTACTGGCTTGTTCAGTAGACTCTCCTCTACAGTTCCATTTTGGCAGGAAGCCCTAGTATTGAACGTTTGTGTTGTTAAAGTGTGAAATATGGAACCTTGTGCAGATGGTTGGTCAATGTGACTTAAGCAACATGCAGTCATTGAATTCTTGACAGGAGAAAGTGTCACCCCAAAGGAGATTCATCAGAGAATGCAAGCTGTTTATGGTGATTGTGTTGATGGGAGTACTGTGCATCGTTGGGCAAGTAAGTTTAAAGATGTTGAGGTGGGAACATCTGACTTGCATGACAAACAAGGAGTTAGACATCCTGTGACAGCAGCCACCGAGTTTCACAAGCAAAACCTTGACAAATTGATTCAGGATGAATGTTGTATCACTCAGAGAGAAATTTCAAGCATAATCAGCATTTCACAAGAACGTGTGGGTCACATTATTGATTTGCTTGGCTATCGGAAGATCTGTGCACGATAGGTTGCGGAAACAGAGTGTCCACTTCTTCCGTGACGGCTTCAGAAAACTTGTTCATCGTTGGCAGAAATGTATCCAATTGTCTGGTGATTATGTGGAAAAGTGAATAATGGTAGTTAAAGAGCACATTCTAAGGATTATTTCTGCGTTTGATTTATTAAAATATTCCCATCCAAATCCAAGTAACGAAGGTGGATGCATTACTTTTCATTCAACCCTCGCAATTATTAAACATTACTAATTAATGTTTAATTGTATGGTTTTAATTGTATTTGTTTATTTTTATATTTAAATTTATTGGCATCAAATTGTTGCCTGCTGAAAGGACATCCCGAGTCCCCTTTTAGGGTGAGAAGGGCGGGATACAAATATGGGAAATATATGTGGATTATATGGCAGTGTAGATGGGGTCTGAGAGAGGTGTTCTATCTAAGGACACTTCCAGAAAGTTTTTTTTTAAATCACATTTTCCACATTGGGGGGGGGGTCCTGAGCCCCTACAACAAATGAATATGAAGGACTGAATGTAAATACATAGACCCATTCACCCTCCCTCCTTCCCCTATCACATGTGGGGGAGAGGAAAATGCAGGTTGCTCAAACATTTCCCTTCTCATCTGGGCCGAAGAAGCACTTTGCAATGCTTTCTCAGCAGTTCAGGGATCAATGGGGTGTAGCCTGCTGAGCATCATTTCATGGCACTCGGCAGGCCTCATTTCCAAAGTTTGCAAGGGAGCAATTTGCCCCAGTGTGATGAGGTCACTGGAGAGTCTTTGTAACATCAATTAAGCTTTGCAAATTGTAGCCAGCCGCTATTCTGCCACGATATGCACACATTCCTTTCCTCTTGTTCAGAACTGAATCCACTAAGGACCTCTTCACACATCCCTAGGCGCTGTGTAATTTTACCAGCAATTGCAAAGGAAACCTTGTGACGGCCTGCCCACCCTCCCTTGTTCCCCCATCAGACGGGGACAATGGGACAAGTATATTGGCATCCTATCCCTATCCCCATAATTGCTGTGTTACCCTTTCTCCATCACATGGTGGAAAAGGCCCAAAAATGCAAGTAGCTCCATCAGAGCCACCTGAAAAATACTTACCCAAGTGTGGTGGCCAAGGAAGCATCTTGTGATGCTTCCTCGGCACTTCCAGAATCAATGGAGCAGGGACTGCCAAGCATCATGTGATGCCGCTTGGCAGGCCCATCCCCAAAGTGCTGCAAAGGGGCAAAATGTCCCAGTGTGATGACGTGGTAAGATTAGAAAATTTTCACCCTCTTTTCCCATCAAGAAAAGTTACTCAAAAAATCTGCACTCCCCCAGCATTCTTTACACACACAAAACCCTCCTAGCTAGCTACTCACCAATTGGTCATCTCCAACAGCTTTGAAGGCCACAGGAAATACACGGCGACAAGACTAACCAATACAAAAAAGACGCATGTGCCCAGGTTGATCAGAAATATTTTGATTAAAATGAGGTCCATTCTGCCAAGTTAATGTATTTCTTGAGCCTCTCTATGAAAATAAATAGCACAAATCAATCAATCAATCAATAAATAAACAGTAGACATACTCTGGATTAAAAGTAATGAAACATGGTCATCTCAAAATCCATAACTTTGCCCCCCAAACCTGTCCTTGGTTTATAGACGAGGCAGACCTGTACAAGAGTATATATGGGTACTCTGAAAAGAAGTTACTCTCAGTTACACTCCCCCTGAGGGTGCAGGTCCATAGCTTGGGGGGTCCTCCTAGATTCAACACTGTCGCTTGATGCTCAGGTGTTGGCGGTGGCTGGGGCGGGGGGGCTTTGCACAGTTAAAAATTGTGCGCCAGCTGCAACCATATCTTGTGAAGTCTGATTTGGCCAGGGTGATCAATGCCTTGGTTCCATCCAGATTGGACTACTGCAACACACTCTACTTGAGGCTGCCTTTGAAGATGGCCCAGAAATTTCAGTCGGTACAACAGGAGGCAGCCAAGCTCCTAACTGGAGAAAATTGTAGGGAGTGCACAACGGCCCTATTAAAGCAGCTTCACAGCTGCCGATAAGTTGCCGAGTCAAATTCAAGGTGCAGGTTATGACCTATAAAGTCCTAAATGGCTTGGGCCCTGCCTATCTCTGCGGTCTCATCTCGTTCTATGAACTGGCGTGAATTTTAAGATCCATCAGGGAGGCCACCGGGGAGGCCACCTCCATCTCAAACACGGTTGGTGGGGACGAGAGAGAGGGCCTTGTCAGTTGTGGCACCCCACCTCTGGAACATTCCCCCTAGGGAGATAAGACAGGCTCCATCACTTTCCTCTTTTTGTAAAAACTTGAAGACTTGGTGGTTTCATCAGGTTTTCAAAAATTACTAGCTATTAGTCCCAATCCTCAGCCAGCAGTAAGAACTTGGCCTTGTACACTACCCACCACCCCATAACCCCGGACATGGTAATTCTTGGAATTTGTGCTGGCCGAGACTTTTTTTACAGTCCTCTAAATAGGCTTTGGAAATGAAAGCCCCAGGCCCCTAGTATGGCCATTGCTGGGACCTGGTCATTGCACTTTGCCCATTCCCCCTGGTCCCCATACTTTTTTTTTCTTTTGCACCAGCCCAGCCCTCTGAAATTACCTAGACTTTTCCCAGAATTTTGGCCCCTGACAGCTCATTTGCATGGAAGAATTGTGAGGGATTGGTTTTAATATACATGCCCGTGTTGATAATTTTTATGCCTATGTTTCGTTTATTCTGTATGTGCCTGTATATGGATGGGGTTATGTGGAAACCATCCTGAGTCCCCTATGGGAGATAGAGCGGTATACAAATAAAGTTTTATTATTTATTATTATTCAGTTTCATCTGTAAATTTCATTGTTCTCACTTTCTCTCTTTCCAATGAGCTCAAAAGCAAAAATGCTCTGCTAGAGAAACATACCTGTAGCAAACCGTACACGATTCCTTTGCCTCCAGAGAAGAAGACTCCACCACATTCCCAGGCAGTTTATGCCATTCTCCAACAGCTCTTACTCTCAGATAATTCCTAATCTTTTCAGTTGAATCTCTTTCCCTGCCATTTGAAACCATTATTCCCTTGTGTCCTGGTCTCTAGAGTAGCAGAAAGTCAGTTCCTCCACCCCCACCCTCCTCTCCTCAATGGGACATCCTTTTAAATCTTGAAACATAGTTCTTCGACAATACATAGTTCTCATGTTCCCTCTCTACCTTCTGTTCTCATAGCTGAACATCCCCCAGGACGAAAGGAGGAAGGATAAAGAGAAGAAAGGGAAGAAGAGAAGGATGGAAGGGTGGAAGAGAACGGAAGGAGAGATTGGAGGGAAGGAGAAAAGTTTGGTTCAATTCCATCATTGGCGGAGTTCAGAATGTTTTTTGATTGTAGGTGAACTATGAATCCCAGCAACTACAACTCCCAATTCACAAAATCACACACACACACACCCCAAACCCCACCAGTATGCAAATATGGGCATATCAGGTATTTGTGCCAAATTTGGTCCAGTGAATGAAAATCCATCCTGCATATCAAATATATTTACATTACGATTCATAACAGTAGCAAAATTACAGATATGAAGTAGCAACGAAAATAATGTTATGGTTGGGGATAACCTCAACATGAGGACCTGTATTAAAGAGTCACTGCATTAGGAAGGTTGAGAACCACTGGAGTAAGCTGTAGGTGTGGCAAGGAAGCTTATGAAAATAGGAAACCCTGTACTATCCACCTTTTTGTTTATTCCATGATGAGGAGGATGATAAGGATTGCAGAGCCACTCCTCTCTTCCCACATCACTGAAGCCTTGTTTTAATCCTGAGCGTTTGGCACCAACCTCAAATGAATGCCCCAAAGGCTAAGCAGATGGGTAGATTGCCTCTTCCTGGTAAAACTCTCTCCCTTGTTTTCATCCTGCTTTCCCCCAACACTTTCAAAATCTTTTTGTCCCAAATCCTTTTACCCAAATTCACAAATTGTTCCTCTCCCTTCTTTTTAAATGTGCCTGGTTCATTGTTTCATTGCCTGCGTAGAGGCAAATTGATGATATATAATCTATGACGCAGTGCACTTATCTCATCTTTTCCTGGTGAATTTCATGTATTGTAATTTTTGAATTCTCTTAATATTTGTTTCCAAGCTTTTACCAGGCAAATTAAAATGGAATTAGAGTCTTGGTAGTAACATTTCTATCCCCCCCCCCCCAAATAATGTCAATTCAGCTGTCTTTGCTCAAGTGGAGCTTTGTTGTCTGAGATAACAAAAGTTACTTACTGTAACTCTTGCTGCTCTTCAAATGATGCTGTGGACTCCGTGTGCATGGCTGATTACCACTCTTATAAGTGCTGAAGGTGTGGTGGGGCACCTTTAAGAGGAACTATCTAGACTTCGCAATTGCAGTTTGATCAGTGATTATTCCCGTAATAGGGGTCATGGTGTTTCATCACAGCTGATGATTGATACAAACGTGTGTGAAATGCCATCTTACTAGGGCAAGTCCGGAAATTGTACACGTGTACAAATTCTTCTATCATCCCCTAATATAACAACATCCTCTTAATCTCTGTTTTAGGCCCCTTTTACACTGCTGTATAATCCAGATTATCAAACCAGATTATCCATATTATCTGCTTTGAACTGGATTATATGAGCCCACACTGCCATATAATCCAGTTCAAAGCAAATAAACTGGATTTTATACAATGGTGTAGAAGAGGCCTTAGGGGCTTTCCATACAGCCATATAACCCAGAACAGAAAATCCCACAATATCTGATTTGAACTGGGATATCTGAGTCCACACTGTCCTATAATCCAGTTGAAAACCTGTTGGTTCTTATTCAGCAACTTTCACTGGTGAAGTCTTGTTACAAAACAGTGTGTGATCGGCTCCAAAAAATTTCCATTGAGAAGCAAGAGTCCATGTGCTTGATTCGTGCCATCCTTGCCAAGACAATGAAGCTGGTTCAGGAAATACAGCATCATGGAGACCTCTCCTCTTTCTGAAGAAGAACCGCTTGCAGTGCAGCACTTAACGCTCCACACGCCTAAAGTTACAGAAGATCCGGCAAAACAGGACTGTCCAATTGAACACAAAACCCACTGATGACAATTGACGTTAAAAAATGAGGACATAAATTTAAGTGGCTTATTTGTTTTTGCCTATATATAGTTTTTGTTGGTCATTCTATTTTTGTACAGAGCCTAAAGTGTTTGTAAATAAGTTATGTGTTGATGTATGTGTGTGTGTGTGTATATATCTTGTGAGCCACTCTGAGTCCCCTTTGAGGTGAGAAGGCGGCATATAAATGTCGTAAATGATAATAATAATAATGTATTGTCGAAGGCTTTCATGGCCGGAATCACTGAGTTGTTGTAGGTTTTTCCGGGCTATATGGCCATGTTCTGGAGGCAATTTTTCTCCTGACGTTTCGCCTGCATCTATGGCAAGCATCCTCAGAGGTAGTGAGGTCTCTTGGAAGTAGAAAAAATGGGTTTATATATCTGTGGAATGACCAGGGTGAGACAAAGGACTTTTTATCTGTGGTCATTCCACAGATATATAAACCCATTTTTCCTACTTCCAACAGACCTCACTACCTCTGAGGATGCTTGCCATAGATGCAGGCGAAACGTCAGGAGAAAAATTGCCTCCAGAACATGGCCATATAGCCCGGAAAAACTTACAACAACCCAATAATAATAATAATAATAATAATAATAATAATAATAATACTTTATCAATACCCCGCCAGCATCTCCCCAAGGGGACTCGGGGCGGCTTACATGAGGCCAAGCCCAACAACACATCAGTAAAACAACAAAGCAATAAACAAATAAAACAATAACATTAATATAACTCACATATAGGCAATAACACACAAAAATTTAAAAACCTATGGCTGGGCCAAATGTAATCGTTTAAAATTTTAAAATAAATAATGGGCGTGAACAGAGGTAGGAAGTATCTAAGCAGGAGGGTTTTAAAGGAAATATAAGGAGAGCAACACAACGGGTAGTTAAAGTGCTTCTGAGGACATTTTGCAGGGAATTGGACAGAGCAGGACATTGTTTCCTTTATTCAGGGAAGGCAAACAAATAAACAAACAAACAAACAAATCAGATAATGTGGGATTTTATTTAGCTATGTGGAAGGGGCCTTAGATTACAGCCATCTTTCAGTTTTACTTAATGTTATATTTGACTTCTTTTTAAAGCTCAAGGCCATTTTGCCCTAAAGAAGTAGTTTGCAAATTTTTGCAAGCAACTGAAGTGAAATTTTCATTCCTCTATAATGCCCAAAGACAGTAGATATGGCTGTTTGGGGCGATAGAGAGATCAATAGTTTCTTTGCTTTACAATTACACTGAAAGTCAGTGTGTGATATAGTTGTTTGAGTGTTGAACAAAGATTCTTGGAGACGAGGGTTCAAACCCTCAGTTGGCCATGCAAACCCGCATGGTGGCCATACACACTCTCAGCACATTATCACATGAGGATTGGGGAAGTCCAGTTTTCCGCTAATTGTTTGGCTGTACCTTTTAATATATGGGGAAAGACCCTCAAAAACTTTCTGCCAGTGCTTTGTTCCATTGCGATAAGTTGTTAGTGCTGTTGCAGCGAGATTGGGAGAATCTGTGTGATCTTGTGGGCATCACTTTTCTCCACTTCCCTGTTCCCAAGCTGCAGCCATTCAACTTCTTGAAGCAGGTGGAGAGGACCTCCAGCTATATAGTCACTACTCCCTGCTTTTGCCCTTTTAAAATTATTGTTGCTGTTCAAGATAACTGTGATTTCGTAGTTTTATCTAGGCGCTGATATGGATTCCCTTTGTTGTATGAAAATTGTATCCAGGTGCTGATACGGATTCTTTTTGTTGTATGGATCCATGGGGATCACAGTCACTACAGACTAACCACCAAGACTCTATCTTTGGAAGGCAATCACACTCGAGTGAGTAGACTTCCTCTACATGAATAGGAGTTCACTTTTTGAATAATATGAATTATATGTCACCACAGGAGGGGCGGGGGTCAGGATTTTAGGGATGCTTAAGTGGGGCATAGACAAAAATAGGTTGGGAATCACTGTACTTTTAGCTTGGATTGCCTTTTGAATGTGAACACACAACTAATTGTGATGTTTGTGTTGTATTCAAACTGCCAAACATTGTCACCTATAGCAACTCTTGGAGTTTGTTTGGGCCCAGATTTTCAAAACAAGGTTTGACACTGATAACCAGAGGATTGTAATTAGTGTATTTATGTCATCCGAATTTATTATGCTGAGAAGTATGGAGAGATTAACATGTATGTGGCATCCAGGAAGTGCATTACTGTGCAACTGTGAAATGGCACAGTAACAAAAACATCAAATGGTGGGCACTCATGATAACAACCCAAATTACCAGTTCTTGTGATTTAAAAAAATTAAGGAACATGATATAATGAAGGGCAGTGTATAGGTTGAGAGGAGTGGTCTATGAGAAGCTGAATTAAGCAGAAAGCATGATCAGTATTTGAGAGAGGACAATTAGGACAATTGTGCAATACCAAGAAGGGGGCTATACCAGAGTGTTCTACCTTTCTACAGGGATGGGTTTGCAACATCTAAATTAGCTATCAGACTGTGGTGCAGTAATCTCCTCAGAACAAAAGGAGAGCAATGGTAAACCCACTCTGGACAAATCTTGCCAAGGAAATCCTTGAATGCACACAACAATGACGACAACAACAAGCCTAATAATGTCCCTCCTTGAGTGGATAGAGATGATCTGTCACTCCCTTGGTTATACTGATTTCAATTTCTTTCAGCCACCCGATAATTAAGGTTGCCAGTTACCTTTTGATGTTTGGAGAAGGGATTTCAACACAATAAAGACGCATAGATGAAGACATTAAAAATGATTCTTCAATATGTACTGGGTTGCAATTACTTTGAGTACAAGGTGTTCAGAAACTGATTAGAAGATCAATTTGCAGATTCGCTTGGGGCTATGAGGTCTATCAATGTGCAAATCATTTTTAATATCTTCATCTATGCATCTTTATTTTAAGGTTTACATATCTAACAATGTGATGATTTCACTTCCTTAATATGTATAATTTCAAGACATCAACCACTGGTCACATATTGTAAGAACTGGAGACAGTATTCCTGGTGAAGTCTGACCAAAGCAAGCTAGAGCAGTACTATTTCTTCTTTCTATTTTAATACTATACTTCCGTTGATGCAGCTTAGAATTGCATTGGTTATTTTGGCTGATATGTGACACTGTTAGCTCATGTTTAACTTGTGTTTTTTTTCCCAATGCATATTGTTTTGTTACTCATCACCTAATGGTCGACCTCCCGATATATCATACCGGTATATGATACCAACTTCCTGCACTATGTACTTGGGCTTAGCACAGCAGACTGAGCCGCTGTGCTGCGGAAAAATCTTTTCAATCGGAAGGTCAACAGTTCAAGCCTGGCCGGGTCAGGGTTGAGCACCCACTGTTAGCCCTAGCTCACCTCCCCACCTAGCAGGTTGAAAGCAGAAATGCAAGTAGTTAAAATAGGCACCACTTTTAGCAGAGAGGTAATAAAAGTGTCCTTAAGGACATCGATCGGAGGAAAGCTCCTTGGCATGGAAGATGGAGCGACAGCACCCCCCGTGGCCAGAGTTGAGCACAGCCTCCAAGATGCAAAGATGCTTGTGGAGAATTGGTTTCACTCTGGGTTTTCACCTGCATTGCAATGGAGCTAACCAAGATATATCCCAAAAGCTACATCCCCAAAATTGGATATGCACTCTGTGTAGTATTTTTAAAGTTCAGACTTTGGAGTGGGTTCTCTGCTCCAACAACATTGGTGTCAAGAGCCACTGACATATACCATCCATCCCTCCAATCCAGAGGCGGCCCTAGGTAATTTCCAACGGTAAGCAAACAGTATTCCTCCCCCACAACCAATCACTGATATATATTTTCCGTTTGTCGTGAGAGTACTGTGTGCCATATTTGGTTCAATTCCATCACTGGTGGAGTTCAGAAAGCTCTTTGATTGTAGGTGAACTATATATCCCAGTAACTACAACTCGCATATGTCAAGATCTATTTTCCCCCAAGAGTGCCTCAAGAGTGCCCCTGGGCAAAATCAACTATAATGCAAATGCTTACTTTGTGTAATGGGTTGAGCCGCCCCTGCTCCAATCTGTTGTCTTCCAGAACATGGTCCCCTTTCACTTTAACCACATGCCTCCTCTCTTGTCTTGACTTACCTATGCTTTTCTGGAAGTATTGGAATTCAGAAATGAAGGAATGAATGAGCTATTGATAAATACATATAAGTGCTTCAACATATTTGCAAAAGTAATGCAC